GTGTGGTATTTAAAATGTGTTTGGGATAAAAATGTCTCATCCCGCTGGTGGTGGTTCAGCTTTCCCTACAATACCATGTAATGCTCGTATTTTTCTCCTTGATTTAGAAAAAAGCCCTCAGATTGTGTTAAAACCTTCTCACAGTTCTTGTGTAACTTGTTTTTACTTTCTGAGTCCCTGCTCAGTCCCATTCTTCTCCTTCAGTTATTTTCCATGGCTGGATTTCACTCTCATCCGTGTCAGCAGATTGCGGTGCCGATGTCAGTGAGGGAGGAGCAGGTCATCAGCTGGGAAATTGTGCCTCAAACCCAGAGATTTTATATGAAATGAAGGCTGTATATTGTCTTAGGGAAATAAATTTATTTTGAAATGTGAAGGAGTTAGAGTGGCCCTGGAATATCCTCATTATCGTGCCCCATCCAACCTCCAGGGGGAGGGGCAGGAAAAGATTTGGATTTCTTCAGCCAGCTGTGATTTATTGACAATTGAAAATAGCTTTATTTTTGTGACTTGTATCTAAGTGTGCAGCTAGGAGAGGAGAGGTTATCACAGTGACAAACTCCTGAATGAAGGTGGGATCCCAGTAAGAAATGGGGCTCTGTGTGGAAGCGACTGGAGATGTGGAGGGAGAGCTGGAATTGCACCCTCCAAACCAAAAAATCCTGGATACTTCCCCAGTCTGCTCCCTTCTGGTTTAGGAACCAGAGTCTCTGAAGTTTTTGTCTTGGACAAAGATTCCTGGTAGTGTTAATTTGCAGGAAGGTTTTTGGCTGTGTGATTAGGATCCCTCGATTATTTGCTAATTATTTTGCAAATTCATGAAACCGTTAAAGGAGCGTTTACTGTGGGGTGTTTTTTGTGTTTGGTTTTTTTTTTTTTTTTTCAAATCCTTCATCCAAGTGTTGGCCATCCACTTCTCCAAGTGTAAATCTTCTTCCTCTTAGTTGTGCTTGAGCTTTTTGTGTTCTTGTCCCTGGTCCAGCAGAGGCAGCAGGCTGCAGGCTCACGGCTTCTTCCCAAAGTGCTGCTGTGAGAGAAGCTGGAGTAATGCTGGAGTGCATCCAGCTGGGATTGACATTCCTGGTATGTTCCCCCACCCCCCAGCAGGCTTCAGAAACTCTTGGAGCAGGCTAATAATAGCTGGAAGTGTGTCTGGAAGGGAAGCCTGGCAGGTATGGAGAGAGCAGCTTTGGGGACAGACCTCGGCTTAGTCACACTCGAGTTTTCCTCAATTTCTTGGGGCTGCCCTGAGCAGAGACAGGAGTTGGACTCTGGTGATCCTTTTGGGTCCCTTCCAGCTCAGGATGTTCCATGATTCCGTGATTCAACACCTCCCCTTTAGAAACCCAGTGGAAGATTTTCCTCTCCCACTTCTCTCAAGGGGGGGCAAAACCCAAAAATTGAATTGTCAGGTCGGGCTTGGCTCTGAGATAAATCAGGTGTTTGCAACCCAGCGTGGAGGTGGTGGAAACACTGGTTTGTGCTAAAAAAGGCTGGTTTTGGTTGGGATCCTGCCCATAGTGGTGCCCAGAGGAGCTCTCGGGGTCGGTGTTCCCTGAGCAGGACCAGCCCCAGCATCATCATCCCTCGGGTCTGCAGGGAATCAGCTGATGAGGAGTGAAATCCCTGGAGCTCTGAGTTGCTCTTTCCCTGGCAGCTGCTCAGCTTTAGGACCAGGTTCCTTGATCCCATGTCCATATCCACGTCCTGCAGCCCTTGGCACGGCGGTGTCACCGCCCAGCACGTGGCACTGACGCGGCTCCTCTGCCTCAGAGGTGTTTGCACCCGAAATATCCCCAGAGGAAGGACTCTTTGGAGTGTACAGTAGACAATAAATAATTCTAGTCGTGTTGATTAATATAAGGAATGAGTCAATTCTACAAATGAAAGGAAAAGAAAAATCTGAAAAGCGTATTTTGACAAAGCATAGTATTAATTTTAATATTGTAAAAAAAAAAAGGAAAATATCTAAAATATACAGAGAAAATATGTATATCCAAATGTCTGAGGAGTTTCAAGATAATCTACTTTTGTTTTCTGTTGGTTTCTATTCCATGGTGTACATATTGTGTGGATGGAACATCGGCTGTTTTAATACTATTGTTAAATTGTATTTTTATTTTGTGTTAAACTAATCATCACAGACTCAGCTTTATTTTGTTTATGTAAAGGTTGCTATGCTCTGTAGGTATAAACCCGAGAATTCTATTTTAACAGAAAAAGCATTTTATATTATTTATTAAATACATGTTTCTCCAACTTCTGACATTCCACAGAATTTCTGCTCCGTATATGTATGGAAGTGGCAGCTCCTTTCAAGCAGGATCAGCCAGCTTTATTCTGTTTTTCATGGCAAAAGAGGGATAGATTCCCTGAGCCTGTGCAGCCCTTCTCTCCCTGCACAGGGACTCCAGGCTCTCTCTGCTCCTGAATGCAGAATCACCTGGAAAACTCCTGCAAATCCACCCCTCCATGGGATATTTCCAAATTTCTTCTTTATCCCTCAGAATTCCCAGAGCAAGTGTTTATTCACAGGAATCTGTGCTGAGTTAAAGAGAATTCATGACCTAAAGTGGGGCAAGGAGTCAGCGTGGGGTTTGATCCAGCTCAGCCATCAGGGAATTGCAGAGCTCTGTGGGAAGGAGTGAGTGGAAGGAGAGTCTGGACATGGGGCTGAGCTGCAGGACCCCAAATGTCCTCACTGGAGATGGGTTTGGTGTTTCAGGGGGATCCCTTGATCCTTGAGAACAGGATCCTGAGGCAGGAGCAGTGCCTGTCCTAGAGCCAGGGCAGGACCCTGCTTGGTGTCACATCTCAGGGGAGCAGTGGCCACCAGGGACCCTGCAGGGACCGTCCCTGGGGTGTGGGGAGGGTGACACCGGGCACATCTGGGCACATCTGCAGAGCCAACCCCAGCACCTCTGTCCTCACTGAGGTACAGAAATAGCCCTAAATTTATCAGGTCTCTCAGTTCCTAAAAATAATTCCAGTTGTGAGCCTGGCCTGTGCAGTTTGAGGTGTAGGATTTTGTGCTCTCGTGGTGCTGGAGCTCTGTGCTGCTCAGGGCTGATCCCCGTGGCACTGCTGGGTGAAATGTGGCATTTTCCATTGCCACGCTGCTGCTGAAATTCTCTCCTTGCTGAGGAGCTGCCTGGGGCAGGGAGGGATCCCTGCTGTGCTCCTTAGAGCAATCTCTGCCTTCTTTCCCATTTCCCTCTCTGGTCCCACTGGATTTTGGGGTGAGCTGTGCCCAAGCTGCACCTGGAGGGAGGAGGACACTGTGCTGGTGGCATCGTGACTCCCTAGTGTCACCCCTGGAAAAATGGGTGGTGGGGACAGTGCTGAGACCAGGGCAGCTGGCCTGGGGTGTCCAGGCAGGGATTTGGCAGAGAACCTGGGGACAGCTGCAGGAAGGTGGCTTTGTCCAGGGCCAGGTTGCTCTGGGTTTGTGTGACACGCTGTGTTTCCAGGCTGGAAAAGGAGATGGGCTGGGAAGAGGCTTTCCTGTTGGTAGCAGGCATCTTCTCTTCAGGGAAAGGGAGAGAGCAGACAGTGGGTGAGATGGCACAAAAAAAGTGTGTGAAAAACAGAATAAAGCAGGAGCATCCTCGGAGAGGGGATTTGTGAGCACTTCTAGTGCCTCACTAGGCCCTTTAAAACAAAAAGGAGCAGATTCACACGAACAGCTACTTGCGATGAAGGAAACGATCGAAAGAGAACCTGTCCAAAACGTGTAATTAATGGCAAGCAAAGCCAGGATCTGTAAATAACTTTAGATATTGTATCGATGAGATCATTCCTTGTTTTATGTACTTGGCTCTTTCCATATTTATTGTGGGGAGGGGGGTCCCGGTGCCTGTGAGCTGTGGCCTCGCTCCTCGCGGACTGTCCCGGAGTTTACAGCCCCGTCGTGGCGGGTGTGCCACACTCGGTTCTTGCCGCCAGTATTTTTTTAACGGATTCTTTTGGCACAGCTAAGCTGCTTCTGTGTGTTGGTCAGTACAACTGCTCTCCTACGACCAGACCCCAATAAAAACCGTCCTTTGCGTGTGTGCCGGTGTCTCGTCCTTTCCGTGTCACTGTCCCTTGCCGTCAGGCTGTACTGGGCTGTACTGGGATGCACCCCAGTGCCCCATGCACAGGTAGGTCCCTTCCCTGTCCCCATGATGTTTGTCCTGGTTTTTCTGAGGGACACGCCAGCTGTGTCCTGCAGGTGAAACGTGCTGGCTGTGCCAGGTGTGTGGTAGGTGACCCAAGGGTGGCTTTCCACCAGCAGTGGCCCCATGGCCGCAGTGCCACCAGGGAAGGATGATGAAAACCTCGTGTCCTGGTGCTGTTCCCAGGTGGGATTGGGGTTGGTGAGATGCTCAGCCAGCGCTTGGTCTCCTGCTGTGGGGGACTCCAGACTGACAATCCCGTTTTCTTTCTTTCTACCAGAGCCTTGGGTGTGCCCGTGGAGCTTTTGGGTCAGCGTGGCCGAGGTGGGGACATTACCCCTGTGCAGCTGCGCTTGTCCTGAGAGGTGACATGCACCCTGACTGGCTGTTGGGTGCTGGGCCATGTGGGACACAGGTCCTGCTGTGCCCCGGGGTGTCACCCTTGTCCCCATGTGGTCACCACGTGTGCTGCTCCCCTCCCTGCTGCCCTGGCCGGGTGCTGACCATGCTGCTGTTGGTGCCAGGGGCTATTTTGAGCTCTGCTCCCAGGTCCTCTTCCAGTCAGCCCCATCTCAGGGCTGGGGCTGCTGGGGGGAGCCGGGGTGCTTTGGGGTGCTCCCAGCCCAGGGTGTCCCCATCGGGCACCACCAGAGTGTTCTGGGGGGGCTCACACCCAACCAGAGCATCCCCCCGTTTCTTTGGGTGCAGCAGGCGGGCACCAAGGAGGGCGCGGGTGACACGCGTGTGCCAGCCGCTGTAGAACCCAAGGAGCAGGAGGGCCCCGCGGTGCCTGTCCCCAGCCGAGGCCCCGGTGCCACCGCCGCGGGTATTTTTAGCAGTGACATGTGTCACCTCAGCTGCCACCGCGGCGGGGGCGGGGGCGGGCGCTGCCGCCCCTCTCCCTGCGCTGCCGCCGCCGCTCTCGGCTCGCCGGGATCCCGGTGCTGCTGCGGGACACCGGCACCCACCGCCCCCGCCAGGTACCTGGGGAGCCCCGGGGGGGCCAGCGGGGTCTGTGGGTGCCCCCGGGCCGGGAGGGGGATTTTTAATCGGGAATGGATGGCCACAGCGGCAGCCCCGGCTCCGGGGGCGGCTTCCATCCGCGGGGGGAACAGCGATGGGAGCGGGCATGGGGACGGGGACCCATGGTGCCACCAGGGTGGCAGCACGGGTGGCCAAGTAAAGACCAGATCCAAATGCCCCCGGCCCACCCGTGGCTGCGTCCCGAGTGGGGACAGCGCGGCGCTGGTGGCACCCCCAGTGCTCGGTCCTCTCCGCGCCTCAGTTTCCCCGAGGACGGTCCCTGTCCCTGTCACCTCGGGGGTGACAATGCCGTGTGGCTCGCCCGCTCCGGGCTCTGCGGTGCCATCGGGGCCAGTCCTCCTGGCTGGGGGGACAGCCGGTCCCTGAGGCACGTGGCGCTGGGGACAGCCACCCGGGAAGGCAAGTGACATTCCCAGCCCGCTGCCGGCCGCTCCTGCCCTTTACTGTACAAGGAGATGCGGCTGCCGGCGGGGCACAGCAGCGCCCGACCAGCCCCGACGCGCTCGGTGCCTGAATGATCCCAACAGGTGAAGCCGCTGCCAGCCCCAAGTGGGGCACGGATGGGCTCCTGCGACCACCCAGCCTGGGCAGAGGGGTCGCGGCATCACCCCCGTGCCACCAACCCTCTGTGCCGCACTCCCCGCTCTGCTCTGGGCGCTGCCATGCGAGCCCAGGTGGGCAATGCCCGGCAAGCTCAGGGTGCTCCCGGCCTGGCACAGCTCTGGGGCTGGCAGCAGCCCCTGGCTTAACTCTCTCCTCTCTCTCTGCCCGTGTGTCCCCTCGTGTCTCTGCACAGCGCCGTCCGGCCTCGCCGCCACCATGGCCATCTCCTCGCGCCTCGCGCTCTGGGAGCAGAAGGAAAGTCTCGGTCCCGGCTGGCACTGGCGGTGCTTTTGGGCTGGGTGCCCTTCCTGCCTGGGGGCTCAGTGCTGGGGGTGTCACTGTGCCATCCCCACGGCCCCCTGGCTCTGGGCTCCGTTTGGCCTGAGTTTGAGTTCTGATTTGAGTGATTTGTGCCTGCCCGCTGAGCCTGGCAGGCAGGGCTTGATGCTGGTGCTGCTGCTGGAAAAGCTGTGGGAAGTGGGGCTGGTTCTGCCCTGAGACCTGCAGGGCTGCATGTGGCTGTGGTGATGCTGGAGCTGCTTCTTGCCTGGTCGCAGCCAGGATGGTTCCTCTGGTTGCCACGCCAGGGCTGCTGTGCCAGCCCTCAGGGGCTGCACCAATCTGGGCACTTCTCTCTGGGCTTTTCTCGGCGCTTCTGCTCCCACAGCATCCCCAAGCAAGCCTGGCACCCAGCAGGAGCCTGGGCAGTGCCCCAGCCTGAGCGGGGTGCCCTGCTGCCACTAGCAGTGCTGGCTCCTGTCCCCGTGCCTGCCCTGTGACCCACCTCTGCTCTCCCAACCCCAGATTCGTGACGAGGACCGGGGGCCACCCCCGTCTGCACCCCCCCTGCTCCTGTCGGTCATCCCCGGGGGGTTCATCAAGCAGCTGGTGCGGGAGACCGAGCAGGAGGCCAAGGCGGCGCGGCGGAGGAAGGAGAGCAGGGTGGGCACCAAGGAGGAGGTGAGCACTGAGGGACTCACAACTGGGGTGCTGGGGGTGTCCCCAGGTGTCCCCGGGTGTCACAGCAGGCTCTTCTCTTTGCTTGCAGCCCTCGGGGAAGGACGAGGCCCGAGCCGGGGACGGCCCCGCTGCCCGAGGAGGGAGGGCCAGCGAGGGGACACTGAGGAACGGGCTGAAGGCAGAGGGGCAGGGGGACAAGGGGGTCACAGCCCCCCCTCACAAGGAGCTGCCCCCTGTGCTGGGGACTGTCCCCAGCAAAACCCCGGCCCCTGCACCTGGTCCAGCAGCGCCTGCCCCCAAACCAGCAGAGACACCCCTCAAAAAAGCCGAAATATCCCCCAAAACACCTGTCCCCAAATTGGCAGAGACACCCCCAAAAAGAGCAGAGATCCCCCGCAAACCAGCAGAGACATCATCAAAACCAGCAGAAACACCCCACAAACCATCAGAGACCACCTCCAAACCAGCAGAGACCACCTCCAAACCAGCAGAGACCACCCCCAAACCAGCAGAGACCACCCCCAAACCAGCAGAGACCCCTCACCCCGGGGCTCCCAAGGTGGGAAAGTCATTGTGGCTCAGGAAGAGCCCCAAGGATTCCTTCTTGGGGAGCAGCCCCCCAGCTCCAGCCCCTGCACCCAGCCAGGGTCCCCAGCACGGCAGCAAAGTCCCAGGGAAGGAAGGGGACACATCCAAGGGGACAGTCCCTGAGAGCACCAAGGAGAAGGGGACAGTCTCTGAGAGCACCAAGAAGGAGAAGGGGACAGTCCCTGAGAGCACCAAGAAGGAGAAGGGGACAGTCTCTGAGAGCACCAGGAAGGAGAAGGGGACAGTCCCTGAGAGCACCAAGAAGGAGAAGGGGACAGTCCCTGAGAGCACCAAGGAGAAGGGGACAGACTCTGAGAGCACCAGGAAGGAGAAGGGGACACCCCTGAGGCACGAGGAGCCCCCAGCCAAGGTGAAAGCCCAGAGGGAGCTGTTGTCAGCCAGGAAAGAGCCAGAGAAGATGAAGAAAGATGTTGGAGGTGGCAAGAAGGAGCCAAGGGAGATCAAAAAGCCTGAAAAAACCACGAACAAGTCGGATGGTCTCAAGGCAGAGCCGGGAGGAACCCAAGAGAAGTCCACAGATGTGGGAAAAGAGGTGGGGAAGGTGAAGGAAGAGCTGGAAAAGGGTAAAGAGATGCTGAAAGAGAAGAAAGGGATTGGCAAGAGCACGGACAAGGACCAGGCTAAAGAAACATCGGGAAGGAGCAATGAGATGAGCAAGAGCATGGAAAAGGACCAGGATAAAGAGAGCACGGACAAGGAGCAGGTAATGTTATCCAGGTTTTGGGGCACTGGTGCAGTTTTGTGGTTTCATGCAGCTCCTCCCGTTCCTATGGGCTGGGCTAGGGGAAGGCGACCCCAGTGTGTAGAAATGTCCTTTTCCGTGGGGCAAAGGCAGTTTGTTCAGCCCAATTTTCCTCTCTGCTCCCGCCAGGCTCCGAGGGACGTTTGGTACGAGGCAGAGAAGGTGTGGCTGATCCAGCAGGACGGCTTCACGCTGGGTAAGGGTAACTCTCCCTGCCCTGCCCTGCCCGAGGAGGGTCGGGGGCACAGAGCTGCGGCTGCTGTGCCCCGCTGGGGCTGGCATTGGGCTCGGCCCCCTGGCACACAGCTCTGCCCCGGCTGTCCCACCCCAGGGACACTCACCAGCCTCTCCTGCAGCCACCCAGCTGAAGCCAGACGTGGGGACACCGGAGCTGCCGGCGGGGAGGGTGAGGGTGCGCCGGGATGAGGATGGCACCGTCACTGAGGTGGATGAGGACAGCGTGCAGAGGGTGAGCCCCTTCCCCGAGCTGGGACAGCGCCAGGGCACAGCGATGGCATCTCTGTGCCCGAGGTGTCGCGGTGCCAGCGGGTCTGGCACAGCCCTGCGGTGACAGCAGAGCTCCGGGGGTCTCTGCTTCTCTTCCCGCAGACCAACCCCCCCAGCCTGGACCAGGCCGAGGATCTGGCCACCCTCATCAGCCTCAACGAGTGCAGTGTCATCAACACGCTGCGGCAGCGCTTCCGTGCCCGCCTGCCCTGCACCTACGCGGGGCCCGGCCTGGTGGCCATCGCCACCGAGCCCGCCGACGGCGCCGGGAAGGTGAGAGAAGGGACCCGGGACACGGCATCCCCCGTGGGAAGCGGCCACCAACACTCCCGGGGACAGTGGCGGAGGGCGCCGGGCACGGCAGGGCCGGCAGGTGGCACCGTGAGACCGTCACAGTGCGGGGACAGTCGGGACAGAGGATGCTCGGAGGATATTTGGGACCGGGGATGCTCAGGGGACATTTGGGACCGGGGATGTTCTGGGCACATTTAGGACCAGGGATGCTCAGAGGATATTTGGGACTGGGGATGTTCTGGGCACATTTAGGACCGGGGATGCTCAGGGTACATTTAGGACTGGGGATGCTCCGGGGACATTTGGGATTGAGGATGCTCTGGGGATATTTGGGACCGGGGATGTTCTGGGGACATTTAGGACCGGGGATGCTCAGGGGACATTTGGGACCAGGGATGTTCTGGGGACATTTAGGACCGGGGATGCTCAGAGGATATTTGGAACCGGGAATGCTCTGGGGACGTTTGGGACTGGGGATGCTCTGGGGACATTTGGACCGGGGATGCTCAGAGAACATTTGGGACTTGGGATGCTCAGAGGACATTTGGGACCGAGGATGCTCTGGGGACATTTGGGACTGGGGATGCTGTGGGGACATTTGGGACCGGGGATGCTCAGAGGATATTTGGGACCGGGGATGCTCTGGGGACATTTAGGGCCGGGGATGCTCAGGGCACATTTAGGACTGGGGATGCTCTGGGGACATTTGGGACCAGGGATGCTCTGGGGACATTTAGGGCCGGGGATGCTCTGGGGACATTTAGGACCGGGGAGGCTCAGAGGATATTTGGGACCGGGGATGCTCTGGGGACATTTGGGACCAGGGATGATCTGGGCACATTTAGGACTGGGGATGCTCAGGGGATATTTGGGACCGGGGATGCTCTGGGGACATTTGGGACCGGGGATGCTCTGGGCACATTTAGGACTGGGGATGCTCTGGGGACATTTGGGACTTGGGATGCTCTGGGAACACTCGGGACCGGGGATATTTTGGGAGGGGGATGCTCTGAAGATACTGATGGCCAGGAATGCTCTGGGAGTGTTTGCTCTTGGGGCTGGGGGTGCTCTGAGGACTCAGACTCGGGAGGTTCTGCACGCTGGAGAAACCATCACCCCGAGTGTGAGCACCTTCAGGATTTTCTCCATGAGAATCCTGTTCGGGACGCGCTCTGTCACCTCTCCCTGCCCGCAGGCTCCCAGGGGGAGGCGGGACAACCCTCCCCCGCACATCTGCTCGCTGGCACACCGAGCCTACAGGAACCTGCTGATGCAGCGGCAGGACCAGGCCATCATCCCCCTGGGGCACAGCGGGGCCGGCAGGACCCGGTGCTGCCAGAGCGCCCTGGAGTACCTGGTGGGCACGGCGGGCAGCCTGGACGGCAGGGTGTCAGGTATGGGCAGGGTGTCAGGTGTGGGCAGGGTGTCAGGTATGGGTGGGGTGTCAGGTGTGGGCGGGGTGTCAGGTGTGGGCAGGCAGGTTTGGGCAGGGTGTCAGGTGTGGGCAGGGTGTCAGGCACTGCAGGGTCTCAGGTTCTGCAGGTCTCAGGTACTGCAAGGTCTCAGGTTTGGGCAGGGTCTCAGGTGTGGGCAGGGTCTCAGGTTCTGCAGGGTCTCAGGCACTTCAGGGTCTCAGGCACTGCAGGGTCTCAGGTTCTGCAGGGTCTCAGGCACTGCAGGGTCTCAGGTATGGGCAGGGACTCAGGCACTGCAAGGTCTCAGGTGTGGGCAGGGTCTCAGGCACAACAGGGTCTCAGGCACAACAGGGTCTCAGGCACAGCAGGGTCTCAGGTTCTGCAGGGTCTCAGGTATGAGCAGGGTCTCAGGTGTGGGCAGGGTCTCAGGTGTGGGCAGGGTCTCAGGTTCTGCAGGATCTCAGGTCCTGCAGGGTCTCAGGTGTGGGCAGGGTCTCAGGCCCTGCAGGGTCTCAGGCACTGCAAGGTCTCAGGTTTGGGCAGGGTGTCAGGTTCTGCAGGTCTCAGGCACTGCAGGGTCTCAGGTTTGGGCAGGAGTGGCACTGGGTGCTCCGTGCTGGCCAGAGGCAGCACACAGAGCCTGGGCAGGCTGGGGGCACACAGCCACACAAATCCTGACCCAATCTCTGCCACCTGGGGTGGCTCCTAAGCTCCTAAGCTGTCCTAAGCAGCCAGTGTGGCCGCCAGTGCCACTGTCCCCATCCCAGACTCAAGGGATTTGCTGCTTTGATCAACACCAGCCTGAGCAGTGCAGGGAATTACTGGAATCACTCCAGTGCTTGGGGCAGCGCTTTCCCACCTGCTCGGGTCACTGGTGACTCTGCTCTGCAGGGTTGGATTTCGGAGCTCTCTCGGGTACACCGTGCTCTTGCAAAGGGCTGAGGGATGGCCTGGAACAGGCTGGGCAGGCTGGACAGGCTGGCACATCCCCTTCTGTCAGTGGACACCCGGTGTGGGATGCTGAACCCATGCCCAGGGCTGGGACAGACCCCGGGAGGAGCAGGCAGAGGTGAGGCAGGAGGAGACACGTCCTGCAGAGCTGCAGGGCGGCTCAGGGGGTCCTGCTGGTGGTTTTGCAGTGGAGAAGATCCAGGCAATGTTCACAGTCCTGGGAGCCTTTGGGTCGGTGACCACCAGGCACAGCAGCAGCTCCACGCGCTTCTCCATGGTCCTGTCGCTGGATTTCAGTGCCACTGGCCAGGTCACTGCTGCTCACCTCCAGGTACCTGTCACCTGCTGAGGTGGGAGGGCTGTGGCTGAAAATGGGGGTCCTTGGGGTGGGGATGAGCCACCCCTGTGCTGCACTTCCCAGCCAGGCTGGGCATGAGGAGCGATGCTCTGCTCCCTGCTCTGCTCCCTGCTCTGCTCCCTGCTCTGCTCCCTGCCCCTCCTGAACCAGAGGTGCCCAAATAACCCCTGAGAAGAAGCTCTGTCAGCAGCGTGGCAGGGTCCCCCAGCCTGTGCCTGTCCCTGGCAGGGAGCTGGGAGCAGTGCTGGGATGAAATGTTGATGAGGAAATGTATAATTCAGTGTTTAATTCACAGCACCTCACTGCTGCCTGGAGCTGAGCCTCGGAGGGCTTTTATCACCATCAGGGCTCTTATCAAAGGCTCTTTAATCAGAGCTGCCTGTGCCCCTGGGCCTTGTCTGAGGGAGGAGAGGGCTAGAGCCTTGTCTGCTCCTGGGGAGCACCAGGGCTTCCCACTGCTGGCCCTGCTCTGCCCTGGGCACCCACGGGGAGCTGGTGGAGCTGTCCTTGTGCAGGAATGTCCCCAACAGTGCCACCAGAGCCACCCTGGCCTGTCCGTGGGACAGTCTGGGCTGGGACCCCCATCTCTGCAGACTCATTGTTGGCTCCAGTGCTGGCACTGAACACCTTTGGCAAGGCTGGAGCTGAGCTGGGAATGACTTATCCCAATCTCTGCTGGGGCCATGGCACTGCCCAGACCTCTGGAAGCTCAGAGGGACCGTGGGTGTTGCTTTCACTCTCTGAAGTTGCTCCTCGACACCTGCACCATGATTCAGCTCTTGCTGGCACAGCTTTGGGTGGGAGGAGCAGCCCCCAAACCCAGCTGAGTCCCTGCAAGGAGAAACCCAGCCCCTGCTTGGCAGCTGCCAGGAGCATCTCCCCATCTCCCTGTCCCCTTTTCCCTCCCCAGACCTTGCTGCTGGAGAGGGCCCGCGTTGCCCAGCAGCCCGAAGGAGAGAGCAACTTCAACATCTTCCCACTGCTGCTGGCAGGGCTGGATGTGGCAGAGAGGTGGGTGTGAGGCTCCAACAGCCCCGGGCTGCCCAGGGATCCCCCATCCCCTACACCCGAATTCCCTCCATTGATTTATTAAAAAAATCTGGATATTGATCTAGTGCTGATATCCAACTGTGACGGACAGAAACTCTCTAACAGTTTAAAGTTAGAAAGTGTGTGTTTATTGTGTGTGGGATCGCTCCCAAATCCACACCGCAGCTTCCAGGTGATTACAGAGCCCTTTTATCCATACAAGTATTGAATACCCAAAATACAAATATATATTCATAATTTTGTACATCCCATTCCTTGCTTCGTATGCTGATCACTCCAAAAGCCATTCAGCATGCGTGGTTTGTTCCTTGAAATGGGTCGGTGTCCCTTTCATGGGGAGGGGTCCCAAAATGAGGAAGTCAATGAAGTCTTCCTCCTTCTGACCTTTCTAGCTTTTCAATGCAAATATGACAAATGAACTCTTGGTAGAACTCCCATTCCTTGTCTTCAGTTGGTTTCAGAACAGAGGAGGCCACAATTGTCTTATGTTCCTAAAAGCTATTTATCAGTTTGTATTCTTCATTATAAACCCAGCTAACTAAACATTGTGCTGACAGGCAATCAATTATTAGTTAACTACTAACTCCTGACTTCATCAAGGCCTACTCATTTATTATTATTATTTTAATTAACTCTAGTAAGGCTTATTTCTAGCTAAAATCTTAGCTCCTCTAAAATCTCTAAATTCCTTAAAGTTTATGTTTCACCATCAGTGGGGTTTTGAGAGCCCCTGGTAAGAGATTGTGAGAGCAATTGCATTAATGGGATTTTTCTGCATGTAGAGGGATTTTCTATGGAATGAGGGAATCTCCTGGTGCTTTTTTTGCTCCTCTACTAAAGCTGAAATTGGGGTGATAAATGAGACAGAAAACCCTTTTCCCTCTCACTTCTGGCTCCCCCCAGGCTGTGTCCCCAGGAGAACTGGTGCACACTGATGTCCCTGCGTGGGGCAGTGCTGTGGTGGCCTGTCCCACCCAGAGACAGTGTCACCAGTGCTGTGGTGGCCTGTCCCACCCAGGTCCCTCAGATGGTGCTGTGAAGGTGGCTGGGGGTGCTGAGGGCAGGCAAGGAGGGAGTTTGACTCTCATTTTTTTGTGGCCACTCCCAGGACGATGCTGCACCTGCACCAGGTGGCTGAGAGCAATTCCTTCGGGATCAAACCCTTCACAAAGGTAGGGAGAGGGAAGTGCTGGGGTCCTGTGCCCACCTGAGGTGGGATGGAGCAGGGCACCCCCTTTGTCACCGCCAGCCAGAGGATGGTTTGGAGCCCCCGGGTGACTCGTGATGGTGCCACTGCAGGGGAGGGAGGGGGTGTTGGGATGTGAGGAAGGGTCTGCCCAAACAGCCCCCCCAGCACCCCTCTGCTGGGCATGGGGCTGCTCTCCCTGGGATGTCTGCTTGGGATGCCACAGCCACCCCGGGAGCAGATCCTGCTGCTCCAGGGTCACCTACTGTGTACACAGAAGCTTGGTAAGTTTAAAAGACAAAAAGACTTAATTTTGTTTAAACATCTGGTATTTATAGAATTCTAAAGGTGACCGTGGATTGGAGGATGGAATTACCACCTCTCCAACCACACTGGTCTAAAGATCAAACAATCATTTCTCTCTGCTCACGGAGAAATATGTAAACTATTCTATTTATACGTTAAATTGTGTGGGAACTCTGACTCTCAAATATGTAAACATTATCAGAAGGCTAAAGAAGTTTTATGAGAACTTTAAAACTTTCAAAAGAACTATAAAAGAAAACTTAGCACTTTTAAAATCAGGGCAACAACCTACCCCTGTTGTTCCCCTGCAGCAGCAACTCCCAGGAGCAAGAACATCCTTTGGGCAGCCCAGAATATGAATTTTAGGGGTTAAAGCTCCACAGCTGACTCCCACCTCCAGCCCCTCATGGGTCTGAGCTGTCTGCAGAGCCCCAGCAGATTGTCCATGAGCCAAAGGGCCGGGATGAATCGCAGCAATTTGCAGTTACATCATCTGCTGAGAATCCAATATTCCATCTTCATTAGGGAGCTCCTGCTCCACTTTGGCAGCCAAAGGAACCGGCTGCTGGAGCAGCAGCTCTGGGGAGGGCACAGCCAGGTCCTCACCCTGCTGCTGATGCAGACTTGGGTTCAGAGGTGGGGTTTTGCCCTCCTCTCACAGCTCTGAGTTCTGGGGGTTTGCCATCCCAGCAGGGAGTGTTTGCCCTGCTCCCTGCCGAGGTGGGATTCTCCTGGCCCCAGGGAGCAGCCCCAGCTCAGGGACTGCAGGAGGGGTGTCGGTGGTGGGGGGTGGCAGCAGAGGTCCTGCTGGGGGCCAGGAGCTGCTCAGCTCTGGGCAGGTGTGTTGGGTGAGGAGTGAGGGGACAGGGCTGGACGGGGAGCTGTCGCTGTCGAGGCAGAACGGGAATGAGAAGATTCACTCAGAAGGCTGCTGAGAGTAAAACTCTGATTTATTCAAAATACACTGCTCTTTTATACAGAGCTTCACAAGGACCAAATCCATTGGTTCTGAAGTGAAAACAATTCACAGCATTGGTGTGCAGTGCTTGATGCACAGTGATAGAACTTAACTATAAACAATGTGAAAAACAAGAGAGAGAAAGAATTATTTACATTTCTCAGGCGTCTGCCTGGCTAGAAACTCTCAGTTTCTTTCTTGGACTGAATCTGAGTCCCACTGCTCTGGGCTCTGGGTGGTGTCCCTGCCATAGCTGGGAAGGAGATGAGCTTTAAGGCCCCTTCCAACCCAAACCACTCGAAGATTCCATGATATCAGACATCCACCTCCAGCTGCTGCTCTGTAGACACTCACAAAGTGGGAATTTCTTGTCCTTGGATGACAAGGTGACATCCCCACCTTGCTCCAAAGAACCTGCCGGGGGCTTCTCCGCCTGCTCCAAATTTTCTGAGGTTCCCTTGCTGCGTTTCCTTGCTGTCCTGCTGGCTTCCCTCTCCCTTCTGTCGGTGCCCAGCAGAGGCAGTGACATCCCCTGGCTCTGTCCCCCTGCAGCCCGAGGACAAGCAGAGAGCCTCGGTGGCCTTCTCCCAGCTCCGGGCTGCCATGGGCACGCTGGGCATCACCACGGAGGAGCAGGCGGCCGTGTGGCGCATCCTGGCTGGCATCTACCACCTGGGAGCTGCTGGAGCCTGCAAAGGTGAGGGCAGCCCTGCCTCTGCTTCCCTCACACCTGGTGTGTGAGCTGGGAGCGGGGAGGGAGCGTGTCCTGGCAGGGATCAGTGCTTGGGGACGATGCTCAGCCCATTCTGCTCCGTTTGTGGTGGCTCTGATTGTTCCTTGCTCTTCCTCCACGGTGGGAGGTGGGATGGTGGCGTCCTGTCCCCATCTGGAGCATGTCTGTCCTTGCCACACGTGGACAGGGCAGGGGCTGCTGGGTGTCACCTCATGCCAGCTCCTTGGGAAGGACTGGGGTGGGTGACTCCTTTTGTTGGCACGTTGTCCCCAGTGACACATGAAGGGACAGCTTCAGGTGGCACTAATTCCATCATCCCTTGAGTGTCTACCACAGTAACTGAATTATAATAGGCTGAGTCTGGATGAAAATTGTATTTATAGGGACTTTGTTAATACGGACGAGCAGAAATTGCCTTATCCCTTACAAATGATTTCTGGAAGTGCCCTAACCCATTTTAGAGGCAGCCACATTGATTTACACACTTCAATTTATGAGGGCTGCATAAAGGCTGCCATAAACTAAGGCACAGACATTTATAAATGTCTCTGCAACATGTCATAACACGTCTTATGGTAATCTATACCATTAATCATCTATTAATTATTTTAAAAGGATAGATGCTGTCATGACTTACAGTGAGTTCTCTTTTCTCCTTCTTTTGGGGTTCTCTTTCCTCATCTCCATCTTTAATGCCCTTCCAGCTTTTATAGATGACCCTGTGCTCTCAGGCTGATGAGTGTCAGAAGGCTCTTGGCCAAAAAAAAAATTTGAAAGTGTTTCAGCCTGTGAGTTTTCAGGAGAGATTTTGGAGATGTGTCTCATTTTGCAGCTCAATGGCAGGTGGAGGGGTGGTCACAGGGTGTTTGCTTTGCTCAGACCTCCTGCACATTCTGTCCTCAGCACTCTGTAAATCAGACTGGGAGGGAATGGAAAGCTGTAGCCAACAAATCCTATTCAATTCTTCGAGCAGGAGCAGGGATGGGAGCAGAGGATCCAGGCAGGGCTGCAGCTCTGAGCACTCTCTGCTGTGGGATTAACAAGCAGATCATGTCTCAGTGTCGCTCACTCTGGTATCGATTCCCCCACCGCGTGTCAACAAAAGGGGAGAAATGAAAGGAAATATGGATAAAAAATGGATCAAAGCCGGGTGGAGCAAAAGTCTCAGAGGGGGCGACGACTCTTTTAATGTGGTTAAACCTGTCTCCCGATAGCCATCTCTTCCCTTCCCCTTTCATACCCTTTGATGTTGTGTATTCCAAATCCTCTCCTTGAAATCTCGCCGAAGGGAGCCAGGCACTGCTTTTCCAGGGCATTCAGGAGCTCAGGCACCTCCTCCATCCCCATCCACAGCCCCAGCACGTGTTAAACGGGCCCCAGTGTGGGCTAAAGGCACCTTTTCCCCTTCTCTCCTCACCCATTCAGTTTGTGCAGGAATAAACCAGGAGGGAACAGCACCACCTCTCCCTGGCTGGGGGTGGAAAATGAATTTGCAGCTACAAAAACGCTGAGGAGAAGAAAAGGTTGAATTTCAAAAGCTCCTTCTGCTCTATCCCAGCGCCAGCCTTTGAATCCTATTAGAGCAGCTCTTTTATTAGGAAAGCAGCCTGGCAGCTGGAGGCCAGCAGGGCACCCCGGGCACCATTCACCTGAGTGCTCCAGGCCCTTTGAGAGCTGCAGAAAATCCCCTGCTTTAATTTGTTTGCTGTCCCTGTAAGCAGGAGGGAGGTTTGGGGCGCAGTGGGGGTGGCATTCAGCTCGCTCTCACGCTGTCCTTTTGCTGCCTGCCATCAGAATATCAGAATATCAGAATATCAGAATATCACAATAAAGCTTTGTGGCTCCCTGTGGGCTTCCCACCACCCGCCTGTCGTGGAGGTGGCTGCCATTCCAGCCCTCTGGTGCTGCTGCAGGTGTGTCAGGAGTTGCTCCAAACCCACTGGCATGGCGAGGCTGCTGCAAATCCAGCCCCCAGAGCTCCTTTGGATGGAGGAAAACCACAGGGAAGGAGGGCTGGAACCTGCTGCTCAGGTGGAGGACACTGAGCTGCCCCAAACCCTGCAGAGGTCAGGGGCAGCAGGAGGGACAGGAGCACCCTGGCAGCCAGGGGGGAATTTTAGGGCTGGTGAGACCAGCAGCAACAGCCCCGGGTTAGTGCTTGAGCTGCTGTGGCCCAGGGGGTCCTGCACTGACCCACCCCTGTGGCATCATGCCCTGGGAACCCAGGGAACTGGGCATTGAGCAGTTTGGAAATGGGCTGGGGCTGTAGCAAGAGAGGCTGAGCTGGCCCCATGAGTGCTGACCCTGTGTTTTCCTTCTGCTTCTCTTAAATATTACCTGGGCTGAAGTAATTCCCTTCAGGTGTTAAAGTCAGCGAGTTTTCCGTGCTCACATCACACTCAGGAGAGCCATGAGGAGCTGCTGGTTATAGTTCTTGGAGGCTGAAATGGTGCCTGGGGATGCCAGGGTTGAGTGGACACTTGTGTTTGTCCCAGGGGTGCTGGAATGGGCAGTGTGGGGTGCTGGAGCAGTGTGGGGTGCTGGAATGGGCAGTGTGGGGTGCTGGAATGAGCAGTGTGGGGTGCTGGAGCAGTGTGGGGTGCTGGAATGGGCAGTGTGGGGTGATGGAATGAGCAGTGTGGGCTGCTGGAGCAGTGTGGGGTGCTGGAATGGGCAGTGTGGGGTGCTGCAGTGGGTAGTGTGGGGTGCTGGAGTGGGCAGTGTGGGGTGCTGGAGTGGGCAGTGTGGGGTGCTGGAGTGGGCAGTGTGGGGTGCTGGAGCAGTGTGGGGTGCTGGAATGAGCAGTGTGGGGTGCTGGAGTGGGCAGTGTGGGGTGTTGGAGAAGTGTGGGGTGCTGCAGTGGGCAGTGTGGGGTGTTGGAGAAGTGTGGGGTGCTGCAGTGGGCAGTGTGGGGTGCTGGAATGGGCAATGTGGGGTGCTGGAATGAGCAGTGTGGGGTGCTGGAATGAGCAGTGTGGGGTGCTGGAATGAGCAGTGTGGGGTGCTGCAGTGAGCAGTGTGTGATTTCAGCCAGGTCTGTGCAGCCCTGGCCCCACAGCCCCTCCAACTCCCCATCAGGCAGAGCTTTTGTGTCTGACAGGAATCAGCGTCTGTCCAGCCAGCTCAGACAAGAACAAGTGAAAACAGAATAAATCAAAGCCTGAGTGTTGAGGCAATTCCCCTGCCTGCTCCAGCACAGCCCTTGATGTTGGAATCCTTCAGTCAGCACACAAAATACCGGGAAAGGATCAAAGGGGAAGGGAGAAGGGAGCTGTGAAGCACCCCCAGCCCTCCAGCCCTGCTTTGTGCATCCCCTCAGCCAGGAGTGGCTCCCCCATGGAGCCTCCCAGGATGTGGCCACCTCTCACTCTCCATCCCACACCCTGTCCCGTTCCACCAGCCACCAGCTGTGTTTTAGGGGCCCGTTTTAGCTGTGAGCCCCCGAGCTCCTCATCCAGCACCCAAAAGTGCCACCTGAGGTCTCTAGGTGACTTTGTCTGCTCCCATTTTTGCTCATCCCCCAGCGTTTCTGAGCTGTGCTGCCCAGCTTCCTCCACTGCACCTTGCTGCTCTGGATTTGTAAAAGGATTAATCCTGCAGATTAGTCCCCTATTGATTTTAATCATTAAGCTGGGATCGTTATCCCGGCTGTGAGTGATGCCTGCTGGGGACAGCAAACACTGCTGGGAGCCTGAAAGGTGATCCCGGATTTCGGATTTCGGGGGAAAGGTTCATAATCCCATCAGCTCCTACCAGCACATCTTCTCTTTGCTCCGCCGGGATCCTGAAACACTCCCTGCATCTGCTCCGCCCGCTCCCCGCCTTGCCTTTGGACCATTCTGAGTTTGGGGGTGCACCGTTTGGACCAGTTTTGATTTTGGGAGGCTGTGGGAGAGTTTTGGTGATGCTGAGGCAGAGCTGGGCCTGGCTGAGCCCCCCGTGCCCCTCCGCAGTTGGCAGGAAGCAGTTCCTGAGGTTCGAGAGCGCCAGCCGCGCTGCCGAGGTGCTGGGCTGCGACGTGGAGGAGCTCGGCACCGCCGTCTTCAAGCACCACCTGAGGCACATCCTGGCGCAGGTGACAGCGCGGGGCCAAGCAGAGGAGAGCCCGCCAGGTACCAGGATGCTCCAGCCCTTGGATTTGCCTTGTTTGCCAAATTATTTTTATTTTATTATTTTATTATTTTATATTTTTATTTTTATTTTTATTTTTATTTTTTATTTTATTTAATTTTTATTAATTTTTTATTATTTTTGTTTTTATTATTATTTTATTTATTATTTATTTTTATTTTTTATTTTTATTTAGTTTAAATTTAATTTAATTTAAATTTTATTTTTATTTTATTTTAATTTTAATTTTTATTGTTATTTTTATTTTATTTTTATATTTATATTTAATTTTAATTTTATTATTTTATTTTATTTTATTTTATTTTTATTTCTAATTTTATTTTTAGTTTATTTTTATTTTTATTTTTATTTTTATTTTTATTTTTATTTTTATTTTTATTTTTAATTTTAATTTTATTTTTATTTTTTATTTTTTATTTTTAATTTTTAATGTTTAGTTTTTAATCTTTATTTTATTTGGCAAATAATGTTTATTTCCCAAATAATCCCTTGCATTATTTAGAATAAGGATTTGCAATTAAATGTTGTAAAGTGGGTATGCTTTATTCCAGCTGGGACGCATGGGGGATATTTCCACCCAAGACATGCGTGCCTGCTGAGGCAGATTTCAGGTTTAAACACGCACTGAGCCCCCAAATCTGCACCTCCCTGCCCGCCCACTGGTGGTGCCACACCTGCTGGTGGTCCTGGGTGGGCATCTTTGATGAAGTAACATCATCTTCCTCGATGTTTGCTGCTTGAGCTTTCCTCTGGGCAGGCGCAGTGGAGGTTTGGCTTTCCCTCAGGTCACTTTGTCCTGGCCAAAATCAGGAGCCTGGTTCTTGCTGGCTCCTTAAGTGAAAGGTTCTGTTCAACAGTACCCAAAATTTGCTTTTCTGAGTTATCTTTATGGCCTTTACCTAGCAGCTAAATTCTTTTTGTGTTACAAGTTGTCTCTTACCCAGCAAGTTACACTCCTGTTACAAACTGTGATCTGTAATTTTGCATATTTGTTAAATAAGCTATATATTATTATATATTTCTCTCTCTATATAATATATATTATATAGATATATTTCTCTCTATATATACATAATATATATTATATATATATTATATATTTCTCTCTCTAGATATATAATAGATGTTTTATATATATAGATATATATTTCTATTTTCTTCCACCCACCTAAGTGCATTCCATGCTTCCAAAATTCTGAATTTTCATATACATAAATGGTTCCCATATCACCTTTTCCCTTTATTTCTGGGGGAGAGGGAATGGTGAGGCAAATTGTTCTGTTCTTCTCAGGCTGAGAGGCCAAGGTAGGCCTTAAAATTAATAAAATCATTAAGTGTGCTGGGTCATGTCGCTGCCTTCAGCTCTCCAGCTGCCCCTGCCTGACCCTCCTTAGGGACAGGTGAAATCAGGTGAATTCAGATAAGTGATGTGGCTCTGCCTAGAAAAAGGGGGGAAATCCCCAAACTCCACAGATTAGCTGAGCACCTGTATCCCCCGAGGAGATCTGGATCAGGGATTGTGCTGCTGAGCCACCAGAAACCTTAAATTATTGTCTGGCTGTAATTCACGGAGGCAGATCCAGCATGTGTGAGGTGGGAGGGTGAGATATTGCCTGGATTTCAGGTCAGCCTGCCCACACTCCTTAAACGTTGGACTTGATGATCTCAGAGGTCTTTTCCAACCTTGATGATTCCATGAGAGCAGCAGGATTCCAGCTGGGCCTTGCAAGTTGTCCTGATAGAAGCACAAACCTGAGGAAGAGGCCTTTGACAGGGCAATAATATTCCTTAAATCCACGTCAGGCAGGAGAGGAGCTGAAGGATGGGCTGTGGAGCTGGGTGGGTTCACCTGCACCACCATCCAGGGAATCCCAGCTTCTTTCAGCTCTGAAAGAAATAAAATGTGGCTGGAAATAAATAAATAAAAGGTCTGTCCTTCCCTTCGCTGTGCCAGGGCCGAAGATGACGGGCGTGGAGTGTGTGGAGGGAATGGCCTCGGGGCTCTACGAGGAGCTCTTTGCCGCCGTGGTTTCGCTCATCAACAGGTACCAAAGAGCTGCTGGGTGCTGGGGCTGGGGGTGGCAGCCCCTTCTCCAGGGGCTGATTCCTGCTGGGAAAGCTGACAGCAGTGTGGAAATCCTTGCGTGAGAGTGGCACTGGCTCTTGGATGTTCTGGCAAGGGGTTCTGATGGCACCACTCTGCTGCCTGTGGGTGAATCCTGGGGTGTGGGAATCCAGGGCTTCCCTCTGGCTGCCCTGGAAGGCCTGGGACCCTGGCAGAGGTCAGGAACGCCCCTGGACAGAGCCCCCAGAGACACTGTCTGTGATCTCTGTCCATGGAAAAGAGTTTTCAAACTTACAGGATGAATGACAAGCTCTGAGTGTTTGATAGAACTAATAATTAAGTGTGGCACGGGTGCAAAAGTAAAATTTTAGGATTCTAGATTAGGGGTTCAAAGGGGACAAGATGGAGGAAATTGGGTGTGTCTTGTCCTTTTTCTCCTTCTTCATGCCCTCCATGTTTCACTGTGGTGTTGGCATTTTTCTGTTGGTTCAGGCTGGGGACACACTGTCCAACGTAGGTGACAGATATTGGCACGTTATTGTAAATCCAGCACAGGTAGTTTCTGGTATTTAATGTTTGTACCATCCCACTGAGGGCAGAGCCCCACACGCTGCCCTGCAGGACAGAGCTGCGGCAGGGCAGCAGAACATGTTAGAGATAAACAGAATAACAACCTTGAAACAGCACAGACGAATTATGGCTTCTGCTTTGGCAGCGGGGCAGAAAGACAGAGACTTTTACAATCTCAGAATCATCAATACCTCAGATTCTGACCCTGGTGGTGTGTGTGGCTCTTCCCAGGTCCTTCTCCTCCCAGCACCTCTCCATGGCCTCCATCTCCGTGGTGGACACCCCTGGCTTCCAGAGCCCGCGGCAGCAGCGGAGCGAGCGAGCGGCCACCTTCGAGGAGCTGTGCCACAACTACGTCCAGGAGAGGCTGCAGGGGCTGTTCTACGAGAAAACCTTCCTGTGGGAGATGGAGAGGTACAGAGAGGTGAGGAGCAGCTCCCAGCACTTGGGAGTGGGGCTGCCTTTGTGCCCAGCGTGTCCCGCTGTGGTGTGAGTGAATAACTCAGGTGCTTTACTGCCAGGGCTGCAGCAGAACTGGGGAGATCTGCATGGAGCAGAAAACCTCTCTCTCCGCCCCCTGCCTCAGTTCTGAATCCTCTTGGCTATTTCTGGTGTGCCAGAGGTGCTTTCGTGGCATCTTTATGGAAGAGAGGTTGGAATGAAATGATTTCTCCCAACCCAAACCATTTTGGAATTCTATTATATACTTGCTCCAGCTCAGAAGACTTTGTGCCTTCTCTTGGCACAGCTGACTTTTTCCTCAGATGATGAATAATAGAGAATAGAAAGGAAAATGATAAATTATTGCAGAAATAAGCTGCTGAGAAACCTACAGGCAGAGATGAACTTATTATAGGCTTGAAGGAGTTACCATAATGCCTCTAGCCCTGGGAAAATAGCTGAATTCCTATGGTTTAACACACACATCATTGAGTAAGGATAGATGTGCCCTTCCCTAGTGGTGAAGCCTTCCAGAAGCCATCCCACGACTGAAACAAGCTTTAAAATGATGTTTTCCAGGAAAACGTTGAGGTGTCTTTTGATCTTCCAGAGCGCTCTCCACTGGCCACGCTGTCCATCATCGACCTGAGCTGCCCCCAGGTACCCTGTCCCCTCTGCATCCTGCTGCTCCAAGCAGTGAGGGCTCCAGAGGCAGAGTGGAACCCTGTGGAGCATCCCTGAGGTGTTGCAGGGAGAGGGGGCACAGCTTTTGGCTTTTTAAAATACAATCACCCTCCCTGGCCAAGGTCTGCGCTCCATCCCCACATCCAGCCTGGGCTGATGGGCTCCTTGGGGACATTCTCACTGCTGAGGGTGATGTTGGGAGGGGCTGCTCTGGGCTAGGGGCCGGAGCTGGGCAGCGGGAGCAGGCAGGAGGGAGCAGAGCAGGCTGAGCTGGAGCCCAGAGCCCTGGTGTCCCCTGGCAGCCGCAGGTGCTGCTGGGCAGCCCCGGGGCCGCTCGCCGGGGGCTGCTGTGGATCCTGGACGAGGAGGTGCTGACCCCAGGCTCCGGGGATGGCTCTGCCTTCGAGCGCCTCTGCTCCTACTTCGCCACCAAGGCACCTGACCAAGATGGTGAGTTGGACTAGGCTTGGCTGCCCAGCCTCTGGCATCACAGTTTGGGTTTGGGATTTTGGGAGGTGTGGGCCATTAAACCCCTCGCTGTGTTTTCTTTCCTCTGGGCTGGTCTGGGGTGCTGTCGCTGCCACAGGTGAGGGGCACCTGCGCAGGTGTGAGCAGACACTGCACTTCGAGATCTGCCACCAGCTGGGCACGGCCCCCGTGCGCTACGACCTCACGGGCTGGGTCAGCAAGGCCAAGTTCAACCTCTCGGCCCAGAATGCCATCCAGGTGCTGCAGAACTCCACGGTGTAAGTGCCAGGAGGTGCCACAGCGGAGCCCTGTGCCCATGGGAGGGGGTGGGGGATGCCCCTGCCCTGAGCTGCAAACCTGCCCCAGCTCTGGAGACAGGGTGGTGTGGGTCATCCCTTGTGCGAACAGGGGGGAATGGTTTCCCACTGCAGAGGGCACTGTTGGGTGGGATACTGGGGAGAATTTCCTGGCTGTGAGGGTGGTAAAGCCCTGGCACGGAGAATCTGTGGGTGAACCACCTCTGGAAGTGTCCAAAGCCAGGTTGGACAGGGCTTGGAGCAACCCGGGCTAGCGGAAGGTGTCCCTGCCTGTAGGGGTCCAGCACAAGTCAGAGCTGTGAGGCTTCACCAGGTTTTCCCTCTGCTTTGAGCAGCCTTGCAGATGAAATTGGAATTGAAAGGGAACTGAAGTGCTGCAGGTGTCTGTGCACACAGGGGGATTTTAACCTTCTGCTTGCACATTCCTGGCTCAGTTGGTTTGGGCTTCAACCCAGGGAAGCTTTAACAGCACCGAACAGCTCCATGCTCAGACCAGGGATGATGGAGCGGGCGGGGGTGTCCCAGCACCGCGGTCCACCCCTGAGAGCATCACCAATTTGGGATGTGGGGGCCCTGGGTGCTGCATCCCTGTGGAAGGAGGGATGCCGAGCGGGCGGTGCGTGTCCCGGCAGAGCCGCGCTCCGGGAGCTGCTGCGGCCGCGGGCGAGCGCTCCGCCGTGCTGCCGAGCCCTGGCCGGGCTGGAGGGCCGCTCCCAGGCCGCCCTGCACCGCAACTCCTGCCTGAGGAAAACCTTCGCCAGCAGCTTCGCCGCCCCCAGGAAGAGGTCGGTGTGCGCCCAGCTCAAGCTGCAGGCGGTGAGTGACGCGATGCTGAGGATGCGGGTCGGGGGTTTGTGGCACAGAGCATGGTGATCCACATGGGACCTGGCCTTGGAAGGGTTCTGAAATGACCGGGGAGCTCACACCGCCGGCAGTGAGGTCCTGCCCGTCCCCGGTGTGGCTGTGGCTGGCGGGGATGCTGTGCTGGCCCGTGCGGTGGTGCGGGCACACAGGGAGAGCCCCCCAGGCAGAGAGAGCAGGCACAGGGCTGCAGAGATCGGGCACAGATCTGCCGAGACCGGGCACAGGGCTGCAGAGACCGGGCACAGGGCTGCAGAGACCGGGCACAGGGCTGCAGAGATCGGGCACAGGGCTGCAGAGATCGGGCACAGGGCTGCAGAGATCGGGCACAGATCATACACAGGTCTGCAGAGATCACACACAGATCACACACAGATCTGCAGAGATCACACACAGATGTCACACAGATCACACACAGTTTATACAAAGATCACACACAGATCTCACACAGTTCACGCACAGATCACACACAGATCTCACAAAACACACAGTTTACACACAGTTCACACACAGTTCACACACAGTTCACACACAGTTCACACACAGTTCACACACAGATCTCACACAGATCTCACACAGATCTCACACAGATCACACACAGATCACATACAGATCACACACAGATCTCACACAGATCTCACACAGATAACACACAGTTCACACACAGATTACACCTCACTGCTTTAATCCTCTTAAGAGCTCAGACAACAGCCAGCCCTCGGCGCTGGGCAGGTGCCAGGCTCCCGCTGCTCTCACACTAATTAAGTGTCCAAACTCTCCCAGCAGATGAGGCTCAGGTCTGCTGATTCCCTGACCAGCCCATTTTGGGGTCTTGTCTGTCCCTGGCAACCCCCTTCCCCAGCATCCCTCAACCACGATCATTTTAGTGTTCCAATCCAAACCATTCCATGATTCTACAAATCCTGGTACATTTTCTGGCCATCCCCTGAACACATGGGGCATCAGGAGGAAGGGTCCTGCTCACCACTCGTGTTCACCCTCTGACTGACACTGCAGCTCCACCTCCACCTGCCCAGACACCCTGCAGGTGCACAGGGAGCATTTCCCACTGCCAGCCCGTGCTGACCCTTTGTCCCCTCCGTCCCCACTGACTCTGCTGCCCTCCAGGATGCCCTCACCAACCTTCTCCGACGGTGCCAGCTGCACTTTGTCCACTGCCTCCTCGCAGGGATGGGCAGGGAAGGGCCGGTCCCTCGGCCCCCAGCGCCGCCAGAGCTGGATGTGGTGGCCCTGAGGACACAGCTGGAGGGGACCCAGCTCCTGGATGCCCTGCGCCTGCACCGTGTGGGTATGTCCAGACCTTGCCTGGCCCGTGCCCGTCCCACCTGCTGCTCCCTGCCCCTGGCCCAGCCCTCCCAGCCTTTGCTTATCACCTGCTTCTCACCAGCAGGAAAGGAATTCCCTTCCTTCAGAAATTTCCCATGCAGAAATTCTCCTCCGTTTTTATTCCTGCTCTTTGCAGGGCTTTGAGCCCCTCTCATGCCTCAGCTTTGTGGCTGCTGCTCCAGTGGAGCTCCCCTTGGAGCACCCATGCATCAGGCTGGACCTGCACTGACCACAAGCACAGCCCATGCTGTGGGGAGAGGGAGCTGTGCAGGAGGAGGTCCAGGGGCATGTCCTGGGTGACACGAGGTGCTGAGGTGGCATCTGGCCACCTCAAACTCCTCTCAGTGCCCTCTCCCTGCCCTCACTGCAGGGGTTTCTCTCTCACGGCAGCTCCCCATCTCCCCTGCACCCCGATGCCCATTCTGTGCACAGGGTGTCCCAGCAGGTCCCTCCCCAGCGTGCCAGTGCCAGTGGCGGTGCCCTGGGCCTGGTGCAGCCCCCAACAGCCCTGTGTGCCCCCAGGGTACTCGGATCGGCTGCCCCTCACCCAGTTCTGCAGGCGCTTCCAGGTGCTGGCCCCGGAGGTGATGAAGAAGCACAACTCTGCCTACGAGGTGCCAGATGAGAGCAAGGTGTGTGCTGGGCTGGGGGGCACAGCCCCAGTGGGGCTGGGATGATGCCAGAGCTGTTCCAGCAGGACAGGGCACAAACTGAGGGCAGGATGTGGGTGCTGCTGTGGCCCAGTCCCTCTCCCTGGCTCCCCAAAAAATCTGGGACTGAGGACAAGCCAGGCAACATTCCCAGGCACCCAAGACAGCAGGGACTGTGGAATCTTCTGGGCTCCTCACCTAACCTCACCTCACCCCGTGATGCTGAAAGCCAAAAGAGCTCAGGAAGGAATCTGGATGTGTGCCAGTTTTATTTGTTTCTGAGTAAATTTGTAGCAAAACCAGCACAAAGCCATGCCTGGAATAAGGCTATGGATGAGCCACAAAGAGCTGAGAGGAGCCGAATTAAAGCTGGGCACATGCTGTGTTGTGCAAACTGCAGCCAGCATGTGCAAAGGCAGTTAAGTCCTCGGGATTTAATAAGACAAGTCTGACAATTGGGAAAGGTCAATATTGCTATGAAATGCTGTCAGAGGCAGAGGGTGCCTTGTCAGCAGCGTGTAAGCAGGGGATTTGGAAAATCCCATCCTCCCCAGAGCTTGCTGCCACTGTCAGCTGGGAAATGCTTCCTGGAACGTGGCATTAACCTGGCTGCTGGAGCAGGAGAGAGCTTTGTCAGCTGTGAGGGGACCTCACCTCCTCCCCCTGCACCAAGGCTCTGCCAGAGCAGGGATGGCAGCAAAAGGGGACAAATCCTGCCTGCAGCTGCAGATCTCTGCTCCCCATCCTGCTGAAAACCTCGAGGGAGGAAAGTCCTTGCACTGGGATTTGGGACTGGGCTTTGGCAAGGGGAGGAGGAGAGGAGGGCAGAGCTGGATGAACCTCACTGAGAGCCCATGGGGACTGGGGGTCTCTGCACCCCATCCCAGCAGCTCACAGCAGGGTGTGGGTGTTTCCTGAGCAGTGCCATGATGTGCCCCTTCTCTGCAGGCTATCGAGGAGCTGTTCCAGGCGCTGGATCTGGAGAAGAAGAGCGTTGCCATAGGACACACCCAGGTACCATGACTGTGCCCTGCTTCCCTGTTGCTCTGTGTGGGCACAGCCCCATGCCAGGCTCCCCAGCAGCCCCAAATTCCCCCAACTAGAGACAAAAGCTCTCCTCCACTGCTGCATGTGGCACCGTGTGGGCTGGGAAACTGAGACTCGTTAAATATCAGACCAAAAGCCTCCTAATTCTCATCTGAAAGCAGTACCCAGGGTAAATCCTGTACCTAATTACCAAAATCCAGCCAGCCCCTGGTGGTATTTAAGTTCCTAATTACCACTGATGTCTCCTGGGAGTGAAGGGGGCTTGGGCAGCTCGTGGGTTTGCTGCAGAGCAGGAACTGTCACAGCAACCACATTTGAACTTCAATGTGAAGGTCTGAAAGAAAAATTAATTTCCTGTGCGTGCTTGCCTTCAGCTCTGGAGTTTGTGAAGAAAGAATTCGTGGAATGGTTCTGTGGAGCAAAATGACTTTCTTTTATCCTGCACTGTGCAGTTTGTAATTATCTCCTCTCTGGAACCCTCGCTCTTAATCAATAGCACGGTGGCAGCCCCGGTCACATTTTGTTAGGGACGAGTTCGCTTTGCCGTCGCTTTGAGCATTGATTTTGTACCAGCTGTGAAACTTTCAGGGCTGGGGAGTTAATTCAGACATTAATGAGGCAATCGAATGGGTGGTGGAGCAATCATGGTATCAGCTCGGGAGAGCCGCTTTCCACGGGACTGTGCTTTGATTCAATTTGGCACGGCTAAAATGCAGCACTCTCAGCACAGCCCGTGTCACTCAGGGGTTATTACAGCTGGGCCATGCAAATGGTTGGGAGCTCCTGATCATGGATTCCAAGAGCTTCTCCCAGCAATGACCCAGAGACACTTCAGACACTCAGAGATCGATACCGGCCTGGGTCTGATGGCATCAGCAAATCTGAGTAATTTCTGAGGTGTTTCTGACCAGTTCAGAGAAAGAAAATCATCTGTTTTTTTTTTTTGGTTTTGCTGTTGTAACACATCCCTGCTGTCCTTGTGTGCATCTGTGTGGCACCAGTCAGAACCCACTGCCAGTGGAGGTGTCCATCCATCCATCCATCATCCATCCATCCATCCATCCATCATCCATCCATCCATCCATCCATCCATCCATCCATCATCCATCCATCCATCCATCCATCATCCATCCATCCATCCATCCATCCATCCATCCATCCATCCATCCATCCATCCATCCATCCATCCATCCATCATCCATTCATCCATCCATCCATGCATCATCCATCCATCCATCCATCCATCATCCATCCATCCATCCATCCCCCATCCATCCATGCATGCATGCATCCATCCATCCATCCATCCATCATCCATCCATGCATCCATCCATCCATCATCCACCATCCATCCACCATCCATCATCCATCCATCCATCCATCCATCCATCCATCCATCCATCCCATCCCCACAGAGAGGGGAACGGGCAGCATCCCCAGGAAATGTTTTGAGGAATTTCACCTTGCCTCTGTCAGGGAGCAGGGAGAGCTTTCAGCCCCGCCCTGGGGTGTGTAATTAACCTGTTCCTTGCTGCCAGGTGTTCCTGAAGCCGGGGGTCATCTCCAGGCTGGAGAAGCAGCGGGACAAGCTGATAGCCCAGAAGATGACTCTGCTCCAGGCTGCCTGCAAGGGCTTCCTCAGCCGCCAGAAGTTCAAGAGATTGAAGGTACCCATCCTGTGGCCTGGGGACACCTGAGCCCACCCAGGTCACTGCTGCTGGCCCACAGCACCCAAACGACTCTTTTGAGCTCCTTTGAAGCTTTTCCCTCCCCATGAGATGCTGTGCTGCTCCCTCAGCTTCTCTGCCACCTTTCCCTCTCCAGCCTGCTGTCCCAGCCTGGTCCTTCCTGGCAGTGCTGGCTGGGTGTGAGGGTCACTGCTGCTGTGTCCCCACAGATCCAGCGCCTGGCCATCCGCTGCATCCAGAAGAACCTGCTGGTGTTCCAGGCAGTCAGGCACTGGCCCTGGTGGCAGCTGCTGGGCCACGTGCGGCCCCTGCTCAGCGTCAACCTCGCCGAGGAGCAGCTCCGAGCTAAGGAAGTGAGTGCCAAGGGCTGGGGTGGGACGGGTGGGACAGGACAGGCTGCTTTAGGGGCTCTGCCTGGTGGGTTGGTCAAGTTGGAAGTCACTTCTGCCCAGGCAAAGATGTTTTTCCTACCATCCAGAAGCTGCCATCTGTTCTTAGCTCAGTGTCACACGTTCTGCAGAGCTGTGGAGGGAGAAGTGACTTCTGCTTAGAGGGGCAGCAGCAAACACACCATGTCCCCACAGTCAAACCCCACCCCAGGGCTCCCCCACTGCCCTCCTCGTGCCCTCTGCAAGCTCCAGGGGCTGTGTCCCCTGAGCCAAACCCCTGGGGATGGGCTGGTCAGCCTGTGGGGTGCTGGAGGATGAGCATTCAAACACCCCTGTGACAGAGGGGTCTCCCCTCTGCACTGTCCCCAGTGCTGTGCTGGCATCCATCTGTGTTGCCCTGGGTGATGGGAGATGCTGATGGACATTTTTTGTCCCAGGAAAGGCTCCTTTCACCCCTCTGCACCCTCTAGACCTGTGCTAAATTCCTGCCTTCCCTGGAGTCCCGCTCCTCCTCTTGCCTTAGTGAGGTTTTAACAAGATGTTTTCAGGCTGGCTCAGACGAAACAAAAGCTGCCCAAGCCTCTGTTTTTGTCTCCAAACCCACCTGGGATCCATCAGACCCCATCATCTGTTAACCTCTGTTTTTATCACGGCTCTGCACGTTCTGCTCCTGCTCAGTGTTGGACATCAAAGCAGGACAAGGCTGCATGGAGCTTTTTCTGCTGCCTGGGAAGGAATCACAGCCAACACCGTGCCTTTGCACCGTGCTCTGATACCTGCCAGGGCCCTGGGACACTCCCTGGGCATGATCCAGGCCCCTGGCTGTTCATCCCAGGCTTTTGAGGTTTGCTGCTCTCTCATAAAACATGCTCCACACACACCAAAGCTGACATTCCCTCCGATGGAATTCATGTCAGGAGCTGTAGTCCTGGCAATTTGCAGTGAGCAGCCTTCAAAGTTGCCTGGTAAATTTTATTAATAAGGCAGCTATGTCTCTTCCACTTATTTTGAACAGAAAACAAGGTTTTCATAAATAAACCGAGGATGTTGGAACTCTCTGTGTGTGTTTTGTTCCAATCTTCCCTAGGAGGAGCTGGCGGCGCTGAGAAGGAAGCTGGAAAAATCCGAGCAGGCATGCAGCGAGCTCAGACAGACTACAGAGAGTCTGGAGAGCAAGGTACAGCCCCAGAACCTCTGGTACAGACCCCAAAACCTCTGATACAGACCCCAAAACCTGTGCCACAGCCCTGTCTGGCAAGGCTGGGAAAGGAGCTGATGGGGATGAACAGGAGCAGCAGTTCCAGCAGAGCAGGAGGAGCCGTGGGCAGGGACAGCTGCCAGGGATGGTGCTCTGGACAGGATTGTGGACAGGCTGCAGTGTCCAGCTGCAGAATTCCAGGCTGGCATCACTCCAGGCTGCCCAGAGAAGCTGTGGCTGCCCCATCCTTGAAAGTATCCAAGGCCAGGTTGGACGGGGCTGGGAGAAACCTGGGCTAGTGGAAGGTATCCCTGCCCATGGGGTGGAACTGGATGAGTTTTAAGGTCCTTTCCAACCCAAACCATTCTGGGATTCCATGTTCCCAGCTGGCTGCTGGTCCTCTGTGGATTCTGCTCTCGGATGCGCAGCTCCTTGTGATTGTGCCTGGGATTTTGCCAAGCATCAAGAGGAGAAGGAGCTCCCAAGGTTTCTATAAATACCCTGGGTTTTCCCAGCTCCCTTGGCTGCAGCGGGGCTGAGCTGGGTCTAGGCTGCAGCTCTGCCTAATGGACCCAACAGCCCCCAAGGCCAGGACCCTCCTCATCACTGGGAAGGGGGTAAAGATGGTTTAGTTTAAGCCCTTTGGAAATGCTGAGCAGGAAAACTGTCTCAGGGCAGATCTAGGAAAACACCAGGGAGAGAAATCCTGTGGGATTTGCTTACTGGGTTAAGCCTGTGGGACTCCCTAAGGAGCTGGTTCCTGCACAGTGTGAGGTGCTTTAAAATGCTGTCAGACACAGGAGAGGAGTGTAGGAATGCTGGGTTTTCCAGCTGTGGCTCTGCAGCCCCTCGCTGGACTGGCTGAGGAGGAAGGACCTGTCTGCTCTGCGGAAAACGGAATTGATTTTCTGGATTAATAATTCTCCCCTTCTGCTTCTGGTTTCAAAGGAAATTTAATGCAACAAAGCAGGACAATGGGGAGCTGTGAGGAGCCCTGCAGTGCAGGCAGCGTGGCACAGGCAGCTGCCAGGCAGGAGCCTGGGCTCCCACTGGTGACACTCCTGAGACCAGGCAGGGCTGCCAGGACTCTGCATGGCTGTGGTGTGGCACAACCCACCCCAGCCATGCCCAGACTGACCCTCTGCTCCCCCAGATCATCGACCTGACCACGGAGCTGTCGGATGAGCGCTACAAGGGCGATGTCACCTGCCAGGCCCTGGATGGGGAGCGGGCGGAGCGGCTGCGGGGCACCCGCGAGCTGCAGGAGCTGCAGGTACCAGAGCCCTGAGCCCCTGTGCGGTGACAGTGGCCGTGCCATCCCCCTGACACAGCCCTCCTGAGTGCCCCAGAGGCGGGTAGAGCTGCTCCCTTCCTCCCTTCCCCAGAGCAAACACGACCAAGTGCAGAAGAAGCTGGAGTCGGTGGAGAAGCAGCTGGAAGAGGCCCAGCAGCTGGTGCAGCTGCGTGAGATGAAGATCAGCGGCTCTGGAGGAGGTAGGGATGTCCCTCCGGAGGCAGTGCCTGCTCTGGGCATCCAGCCTGACCTGTGGGGCCACAGGGAAGAGGGCAGAGGTTTATTCCCCCAAGTCAGTGGCACTCTCCAGCCCCTGGCCGCTCCAGAGCATTCTGTCACCCTGCATTGCTCATCCAGCGGGGGCTGGCAGTGACAGCTCGGTGACATGGCTGTGGCTCTGGCATGGGGCTGGTGGTGCTGTGCCCCAGGGTGCTGCTGGCACTTGGGATGGGATGGGATGGGATGGGATGGGATGGGATGGATGGGATGGGATGGGATGGGCACACATCCTGTGCCCAAGGCAAGACACGTGTTCTATGCGATGGGGCAGCCCTGAGCACACAGAGCAGAGCCGTGCCCCATAAGCTCTGTGCTGCATCCCCTCTCCTGCCCCCAGCAGGGCCACAGGGGCTGGTCAGGCCCCAGCACCCACCCTGCACCCCTGGGTGTCTCTGTTGGCAGAGGATGAGTGGCAGGTGAGGTTTGACTGTGCCCAGACCGAGATCGTTTTCCTGCGGAAGCGGCTGGCACAGCTGGAGGAGCGGCTGGAGGCAGAGCTGGGCACCAGGACAGAGCTCGAGCAAAAGGCAAGTGCTGCCAGCCCAGGAGGGGACAGGGACACCCAGGGCTGTTCTTCCCCCTGCTCCCAGGAGCTTTGCAGGGCTGAGGCTCAGCATTGCATCTGCTTCTTGCTGCTGCTCCCACTGGCCAGGGAAAACCAGATATTTTCTACTGGTTTGAGCCTCAGAAACAGCAAAATTCCACCTTGGTCAAGTGTGAGTGTGGGCAGAGTGTGGGGAGCTGTGGGCAGGGGGTTTTCAGTGGTGCTGCTCTGGCTCTAGGAGCTGTACAGAGCTGTGCTCTCCCCATCTGTCACACAAAGAGCTGGCAGCTCCCGGGCTCTGCCCTGAGGAGGGAAAAAGCCAACGTGCTTCCCTGAGCAGTGCCTGGGAGCCAGGTCGCTTCCCATAAGGATAAAACAGAGAAATATAGATTTCTCATGGTACATTAAATAGTAATAAGAAAGAAGCTGAGTCTTAGGAGCTTGGGTAAAGTGAAGCAGCCCATTTGCTCTCAGTTAGTTTGGAATTACAGGCTTCATTAATGCAAGATTTTGCTTACTTAAAGTCATTCCTTAACGACTCCATTCCCTGGTGAGGGAGAGCTCTGCGTGTCTGTCCCAAACACCACGGGAATCCCTGGGGATTCCAGCCCAGACGCTGCTTTTTGCAGAGAGATGGGACCAGACATCACCCTGGGGCAGCTCTGCTGGCTCAGCAGGAGGGGCTGGGGTGCTGCAGGCACTGGAGGGTGCCTGGAGCTGGAGGGGACACAGGCTGTCCTCTTTAGTGAAAAACCTCTGGGGGAACCTGGGGAGTGAAGTGAGGCTGAGGCCTGGTGGGGATTTTATCCAGGGGGTGTGTGCTGTGGGGTCAGTGGGGTTCCTCCACTGTGGGTTGTGTGGGGTCCAAGGGTCCTTCCTCTGTGGGGTGTGTGGGGTTCCTCCTCTGTGGGGTGTGTGGGGTTCCTTCTCTTTAGGGTGTGTGGGGTCCAAGGGCCCTTCCTCTGTGGGGTGTGTGTGCTGTGGGGTCCCCGCTCTGTGAACTGAGTGTGCCATGGAGCCTATGGGGTTCCTCCTGCGTGGGGTCCGTGTGTCCCCCCTCTGTGCCATGGGGTTTGTGGGGTCTGTGACATCCCTCCTCCATGGGGCACACACGCTGTGGAGTCTGTGGTGCACTTGTCCATCTTCTGTGGGGTCTGTGGTGTCCGTGTCCATCTTCCGCGGGGTCCGTGGTGTCCGTGTGTCCCCCCTGGGTGTCACAGCCCCCATGCCCCCACAGCTGGGCGAGGCGCGGGCGGCGTGCCAGGCGGCGCGGGACGGGGCGCAGCGGCTGCGGCGGCGGTGCCAGCGCCTGGCCTGCGAGCTGGAGGACGCCCGGGTGCTGGCTGAGAACCAGCAGAGCCGCAGCCACGAGCTGGAGAAGAGGCAGAAGAAGTAAGGCTGGAGTGGAGCATGGGGAGGGTCGGGGTGGGCGAGGAGCTGCTGCAAGGGTGGAGCTGTTTCCATCAGTTTTAGCTGCTGGGAGTTATTTTTCCATCCCATTGCTGTGTGACTGGCACGTGGTCTGATCCCAGACTGGTTTGGGTTGGAAGAGGCCTTAAAGCTCATCCAGTTCCATCCCTTGCCATGGAGGGGGAATGTCCTCCTTCCACTAGCCCAGATTGCTCCAAACCCTGGGAATGTCCTCCTTCCACTAGCCCAGATTGCTCCAAACCCTGGGAATATCCTCCTTCCACTAGCCCAGTCTCAAGCTACATCAGGGAAGGTACAGGTTGGATATTAGGAAAAAAATTTTCACTGAAAGAATAATAAAATACTGGAATTGCCTTCCTAGGGAGGTGGTGGAATCACCATCTCTGGATATGTTTAAAAAAAGACTGGACTTGGTGCTATAGTCTAGTTGTGGTGTTAGGGCATAGGTTGGACTTGATCTTAGAGGTCTCTTCCAACCTCATTATTCTGTGATTCTGTGATTGCTCCAAGCCCTGGGAATATCCTCCTTCCACTAGCCCAGACTGCTCCAAACCCGGGAATATCCTCCTTCCACTAGCCCAGATTGCTCCAAGCCCCATCCAGCCTGACCTTGCTGTGCTCCCCTCCAGGTTTGACCTGCAGTTAGCCCAGGCCCTGGGCCAGTCTGCATTCGAGAAGAGCCTCCGTGAAAAGCTGTCCCAGGAGAACACCAGCATCCGCTGGGAGATGGGCAAACTGCAGCAGAGCCTGGAGGTAAGAGGAGACCCCACTTTGCTGTTTTGGGAGCAGCACTCATTACCTTTGCAATTAGAGCAGAGGCAATCAGGAAACTTGATTCCAATTTCTCTCAGCACAGTTCAGTGGGTTTAAATAACTTTCCCCTTTTCCCAGAAGGGGTGTTGCTACGTATGAGTGATCCCCATCCCGTGATTCAGCTAATCAGGGCCACCCCCATTTTCACTGGGGTCACTTGTGTTCTTCCTCACACGCCTACCCCCAAGCCCCACCTTGGGGAAGGTGCTGCTCTGTGCCCCGTGGCATGGTGCTGCACCAAAAATGCCACCGTGCTGGCAGGGGCACAGCTGTTGGGGTGGGGGGAACCCACCCCACGGTGGGTTGGGGTGGGGAACAGCTGGGGCTGCAGGGAACCCACGGGGGACACCCTGGGGAGTGGGAAGGTGAGGTCAGGATCAAGGGGGAAAAGGTGGGGATGGGGCTGCCCAAGCCCTGCTGCTGCTCCAGGGGGTTGGGATGATGCCTTTGGGAATGCTGTGGGCTCTGAGGGTGTGGTGTGAGTGTCTGGGCTCTGAGCCCCGCTCTGCCCAGCACAAGGAGGCCGAGGTGGCCAGGCTGGAGCAGCAGGTGGCCGTGCTGGCTGGCCGAGTGCAGGAGCTCAGCACCCCCGGGGCCACGGACACGGTGCCCGCGCTCAAGAAGAAGCTCTGGGAGCTGGAGGGCAGCGCTGCCGAGCAGAAGAAGGAGCTGGAGAGGCAAACGGCCGCTGTGGATCACCTGGAGCAGGTAATGTGGGGCTGGGGGGGCTGGGGTGTCTGTCCCACCATCCTCGTCCCCTCGGGGATGTGCATCATCTCCTGGTGCTTCAGGCCCACGAGAGGCTGGAGCTGGAGATCGAGAGGATGAAGCAGATCCACCAGAAGGAGCTGGAGGACAAGGACGAGGAGCTGGAGGACATGCAGAAGTCCTGCCAGAAGAGGGTAGGTCCTCGCTGGGTGGGTTTGGTGCTGGGTGCTCCCCAAAGCTCCCCATGTCCCTTAGAAAGGAGCTTCTCCAGGGGTCTGTGTTCCTAGGGAAGTGTTGGGATGCTGCTTTCCAACCATCACCCTGGCATGAGCCCCAGTCACAGCCTGGGGGTGCAGATCAGGCTTTGGGTCAGGGGTGAGCCCCTGCCACGCCGGAGAGGATGTTGGGGACATGTGTGAGAGCCACACGTGGTGCAGCACATGGACCCGCTGCTCCCAGTAACACCAGAGTCAACCCCAGGGTGTCATGTTTGGGGATGATTTGCAGAAAATAGCCTTTCCTCAAGGCCATGAGGTCGGTGGGTGCAAACAGGAATTCCAGAGCTGCAGGGGCATGTCTGGGTGTGCTTCAAACAGCCCATCCTGTCCCCAGTGTCCTGCAAGTCCCTGAAGTGCTTCCTCTCTTCTGCACTGGCACTGCCGGGGGTAGGAGGTGCTCCAGGGAACATGGCCCATTCCTGGTGCCCAGGGCTGGCTGCAGAGACCTCGATGCACTCCCTCTCCTGGGGAAAGCCAAACCCCCACCGTGGCAGTGGCTCTGCCCTGCTGGCACCTTGAGGGGTGGCTGGGCACTGAGTGTGGCCGGGTTTTCCTCCCGCACAGCTCCGGCAGCTGGAGATGCAGCTGGAGCAGGAGCACGAGCAGAAGCAGATGGTGCTGCACGAGAAGCAGGACCTGGAAGGGCTCATTGGCACCTTGTGTGAGCAGGTAAGGGGGCAGTGCCCTCCCAGGGGCTGCTTTGTGGGCCATGCCCTGCCCTAAAAACAGGATAGGGTTAAACAAGAGCAGCTGGAGCAGCAGCCTGGTGCTGGTGCACGTGCAGCTGCTCATGGAGCTCTGTTCCTCCTCCCTCCCAAATGCCACCCAGCCACAGCAGGCACTGGGATCTGGACGTGTCTGGACAGCAGGGATCACACAGGAGCTGCATGGTCCCACTAAGGACCTGCAGAGGGAAATTGTTCCCTTTTGTATGGGAGAATTAATCCAAGCAGGGGAAGGTGTCTGCTTTTCCCTGGTGTTTCATGAGAGTTAAACTAGCACTGGAGTGCATCCAAGTGCCTCGAAAAGCAGTTTATCCAATCCTGCTCGTTGCAGAGGAATTATATCCAAAGCACATTTGGTGAACAAATAATTTTTTCCCTCTCTGATGAGTCTGTGGCAGCAACTGGAAAAAAGCACACCCAGCTCTGCTCCTGTTCAGTCAGCGGGTGAGGGGCTGGACTCAGCCTCCTTGGGCATCCCTTGGCATCACCTGGAGGCCATCCCAGAGCTCTGGTGGCTGAGAGAGGTCCCACCTGGCCCTTTGCCCAGGGCTGAGGATGGCACCAGCTCAGTGTCACCGTCTCTGTGGTGCTGCACCCCAGCACTCCCCAGAGCTCAGCCTGCAGGATCTGCCACATGTCCCCCTGGCTCCTGCCCACCCCCACGCTGCCTTGTCACAGAAACCAAGCCCTGTGTCCTCTGGCTGTTGGCACAAGCTGGATTTCACCATTTCACCAGCCCTGGCAGTCCTGGGAGTTCATCAAACGGGATGAATCTGGGATCTTTGCAGCACCGGAATGGGGGGAGTATTTCAAACAGACACAAAATGTTCTGATGAGGCTTATCCAACACAACCCTCCTGCTCCTGGCTTGGAAAATGTTTAGGGAACTGTCACAATAAATAATGCTGTATCAAAGCAGGGGATTATCACAGCAGTCCAACATGATCTGCTTGTTCGGTGGAGGGGAACTGAGATGGGTGGGACAGGAGGAAAGGCCCCTTCTCCCCCCAGGACAGTCCCCAGGTGTTGTCCTGGCAGCCCCCAGCCCCCCAAGGACAGTTCCTGGTGTAAGGGAAGGGGAGATGAGGCCATGCAGCTGGGATTGCTGTGAGACACAACCACAGCTTGGCAGCAGCTATTAAATCAAATCCTGGTTTTGTCACTTAAAACTCCTGGGCTGCAGCGGTGGGAGGGGGCAGCTGGTTCCAGCCATGGCACCAAATTTATCCCCTGTGGTTGTGGCCAGACCCTGAGCACCAGGAAAATGATGTGAGTAGTGTCCAGGATCCAGCTGGAGGGATGGCAGGGGAGCAGCAGTGGTGGTGCTGCAAACACCCTCTGGCTTGCAGAGGACAGTTCATTAAAAAATGGGAAGAAAACAGCCAACCCGGGAAACTAATTAAGGAAATGGAGATGCCAATGATTTCTTGTTCCAGCAAATTCCAGCCAGCTCTAAACCAGGCTACAAGGTCAAATCCACACAGTTGATTTCAGACAGTGAACAGAAAATAGGAGAAGGAAGAGGTTTGAAACAAGAGCCGTGGAAAACAACCTAAATGGAAAATGTTCTTATACCTCAGTTACGCTGAAATCAAGCACTGAAACCATGTCCCTGTTTATTTGGTGGCTTTCTAATTCCTTTATCCCTGTAACCATGGTTGCTCTCTGCCTCTCTCTGGAGGGGAGGGTAGAGGGTGGGTTTTTTAAGGTACTCCTTGTGGCTGTGTGGCCAGGCTGTCCCTCTGGCCACAGGGGTGGCCAGTGGGGGGGATGTGACTCGTGGAGACCAGGGATGGGCAAATACATGGAACACCTTGGAGATGCTCAAGTAGCACTCAGTGGTGACCAAAGCGAGTGATGAACACCTTGGGGTGGGGCAGAAAAACCTGATGGAGGTTCTGGGGGACCAGCAGGGCTTTGACACCCCCTGTCCCCTCCTTAGATCGGCCACCGCGACTTCGACGTGGAGAAGCGGCTGCGGCGGGACCTGCGGAGGAGCCGAGCGCTGCTGGCCGATGCTCAGCTGCTGCTGGCGGCCCCGGCCCAGCCCGGGGGCAGCGGGCAGGAGCTGCAGCAGCTCCGCAGGCAGGTAGGGAGGGAGCTGCGGCTCCCCCGCTTTGGCCGAGCCTCCTCGGAAAAGCAGCGCTTTCCCTGTAATTAAGCCAACGCTGGTGAAGTGTTTTTGCCTTTTTTCCCCGTTAATTACCTTCTGTTTGGCGCGTTTCTGCGCGTCTCCTACGGCCGGGGCTGGGGCGGCGTTGCCATAGGGATGCTGGAAGCGGGAGAGGGATGGGGGGGATTTGCCGTGGTTTGAGCTCAGCGGTGTTGGGCAGAGGCTCCAGCTCTGTGCCAGCTCTGTGTCACCACACTGGGGACATCCCCGACCCCAGGGTGAGCGCTTGGCCCAGTGGGATGCTGTAGGGGAATGCGTATCCATCCTTTCCAACATCATGCCCCCTGTGGGCTGTGTATTCCCAAGTGCCAAACAGGGGGTCAGCTAAAGCTGCTGGCCCTCTGAAACCACACTGGGGACATCCCTGACCCCAGGGTGAGCGCTTAGTCCAGCGGGATGCTGTAGGGGAATGCTTATCCATCCTTTCCAACATCATGCCCTGCTATGGGACAGGGGCACCACTGGGTGTCCATCCCCCTGTGGGCTGTGTATTCCTAAGTGCCAAGCAGGGGGTCAGCTAAAGCTGCTGGCCCTCTGAAACCACACTGTGCCACCACACTGGGGACATCCCTGACCCCAGGGTGAGCTCTTTGCCCAGTGGGATGCCCTGCTACGGGACAGGGGCACCACGGGATGTCCATCCCCTTGTGGGCCATGTATTCCCAAGTGCCAAGCAGAGGGTCAGCTAAAGCTGTTGGCCCTCTGAAACCACTCAGGAATGGATCTGTTCTGCACATTTCCCCTGGAAACGAGAGAATCTGGAGGCACGAGCAATCCCAGCAACATCCAAATATAATTGGGAGGGTCGCTGTGCATAAATAACAGCTGTGAGCAGCAGCTGCTCCCACCTGTGCTGAGGGAGAAGGGGAAGGTGAGCTGGGCCTGAAGGAGCTGGAGGTGTGTCCATGCCCTTACCTGGATGTCCAGGGCAGGAGATGGCCATGGCTGGGACAGGCCACAGTGGGGAATGGCCATTTTTTGCACTCTTGTGTTGTTAAATATTATTGACCCGGTGCTGTAGTGCTGGGCTTCGTTAATCCTTCAGTGTTTCCCAATCCCTCAATGTTTCCCAAATCTCACTGCCCCTGTTTATTTTTTCCCAGTCCCTGGTGGGAGGGAAATGTGGCAGGGCCCTGCCCTCAGGTCCCTTCATGTGCTGATCTGAGGGACCTACACTGATGCTGAGGTGCTTCCTCTGCCCATCCCGTGCCCATCTCTTCATGCCCAGCCCCATCTCTCTGGAGAATAATGCCCAATTCACTTGGGGAACAGAGCTGGGGAAGTAAATCTTTACTCCAGAGAGTAAAGTAATGGAGAGAGCAGCTGAAGGAGCTGGGGAAAAGGAGGCTCAGGAGGGACCTTCTGGCTCTGCTCAACCCCCTGCCAGGAGGGGACAGCCTGAGGGGTCGGGCTCTGCTCCCAGGGAAGGGACAGGAGAGGAAACTGCATCAAACTGTGCCAGAGGAGGGTCAGGTTGGACAGCAGGAGGAATTTCCTCATGGAAAGGGTGGTCAGGGACTGGAAGGAGCCGCCCAGGAAGGTTTGGAGATGCCATCCCTGGAGGTGTCCAAGCAATTCCTGGATGTGGCACTCAATGCTCTGGGCTGGTGACAAGGTGGGGATCAGGCACAGGCTGGGCCTGATGACCTTGGAAGTCTTTCCCAACCTTTATGACTCTGGGATTCTGGGATTCTTGCTCCCTGTACACCCCAGTTCTCACAGCAAGGTCCCTCTCTGTCCCTGTGGTTCCATTCAGTCCATCCCTGACTCACTCACTCCATGGCCTGTGCTCGCCTCCCTTGTGTTGGAAGAAAAGCAAACAGCCTGGATTTTGGGAATGTGGAATTTTTGCTGTGCCACCAACACTGAGACTCTGCGTGTGTTTAAAATGCCACATGATTATTCTGTCCTTTAAACTGAAACAATTTCTAATGGCATTCATGACGACTTTCTCAAAAGCCAATGCATCCTACCACCAGCCCACGGACCTGCACGAGAAGAAAAACTTTGCTAAAATGCTACATTTCCGTTAATCAAAATCCATATGGCTGGAAGTGCAGCATTGTTTCTTAATAAGGCTGAGGCATCCATTTTATGCAGGTATTTAACAGATGGTGTTCACAGCAAACTAATGTTGTTCCACACTTCATACATTATGCATTTTTTTGGGGGGAATTTCAATTTATTCTTCCCAAGTGGGAAAATTCCATTACACGAAGTGAATTGGAAGCTGATGTTTAATGAGGGGTCCTGGAGATGCTTTTCTGCCTGATGGAACTATCAGGGGTTTGGTGGGAATTGTGGCAGGGAAGAGGCCAATCCATGATTGTGGATGCAGCTGTTTCTGGAGCAGCTGGACAGGTGGGAAAGGCCATAAAACCAGGAGCTGATCGGAGTGGCACCTTCAACTCATCCCAGCAAAGCACAGAGACTTTTTAAAAGTTCTTCCTTCCCTAATGTGAGTTCTCAATCTCCCCAAACAGTGGAGGGAAGTGAGCTGAGGATTGCTCCAGTTATATTATTCCATTATTTCTCCCACCTTTTTTTTTTTTTTTTTTTTTGAGGGCGAGAAAAAAGAAAAAAAAAAGTCTCAAACTCTCACCATGGTGTGCAGCTTTTCCCGTTGCTCCCTAGAATTCCACAGGGAAACCAGGACCAGGCACAGGAAATGAGCAGTGAGCAGAGGGGTTTATTTTTCTTTTTTCATGGAGAAAAGAAAAAAACCCCAACGAGCAGGGAGGGGAAGGAACTGGATGTTCAGGTACAGCCTACGACAACTCCTCCGCCCAGGCAAGGGGGGAGATTTTGGGATGGCGCTGCAGCTTCCAGATGTTTGCAGCCCATTGAAGATGGTTGTGATCTTAATGGCTGAGCTGTAAAACCCGAGAGCAAATTAGCGTTTATAAATGGGATCTTCCACGTGTATTTGCAAATGCAATTTACGCCACGGTGAAAAGCCCATTTGCAAACCCCCGAATCATGAATTGCTCTAATCAGGAATTACATGTAATTCACATAATTTTGCAAATTAATGATCTCAGCTCTGCCTTGCCGAGGAAGAGGGAGGATGTGGCTGCTGGACTCACCAGGACACTCAGTGGTGTTGGGATCTGTCCTGGGAGGTGCCAAGGAAGGTTTGCTTGCCCTGTAGAGCAGGAGCAGACAAGCTGAGGAGCAGCATGGGTTATAAAAGATGGAGATTCTGTGTTCTTCAGCAGGGAAAAACGCTCTGTGGAAGTGGAAATAAACGTGGATGTGTGGCACGGGGGCAAGCACCATCAGCATGTGGTTTCTGCTCCTTTAATGATGATCCCGTGCAACTTTTCCCAGTTGGAAGAGAGCGAAGCCAAGTGTGCAGAGGCCCAGAGATGCCAGCAGACAGCAGCCCTGGAGCTGGAGAACCTGCACACCGAGCTGGAGACCCTCAGCAGAAACAAGACCCTGGTGGGTTCCCGGAGCTGTTCCAGGGCAGGGCAGGTGGGAGGGCACAGTCCCACCTCGGGGAGGGGGTTTGGCAGCAATCAGCAGCTGCTTTGCTAAATCAGCCACTACCAGAGCGTTTCATAAATCACCTCGCGGTGTTCATTACACGCGGAGGATATTTACAATATGTCCCAGCGTATTTGTTGAGTCTCCAAGGAGATTCCTCACTAAATCACCTGGACTGGTTGCAAACAGCAGCTCCCGTTGATGATTTAACGGGTGGACAAAATTCCTGCAAGGGAGCAGCATCCCATGGTCCTGCTGTGCCTCTCGGATGGGCTGGAGGCTGTTGGCAGCACATCCCAGAGGGGATTTGGTGGGCTCCATGAACCTGTGGTGCTGTGGATCCTCCTGCAGGTGGATGAGCAGCTGTTCCAGCTGCAGCACGAGAGAGCCGACCTGCTGAAACGCATCGATGAGGACCAGGAAGACCTGAACGAGCTCATGGAGAAGCACAAGGCTCTGATTGCCCAGGTAGGAGCTGGGGCAGCGTCTCCAACCCTGCGAGGGCTCTCAGAAAGCCCTGCAGGATGGCACAGAGCAGGTGGGGGCCCCTGGGTGTCGGAATCTGAGGTATTGATGGTTCTGAGATTGTAAAAGTCTCTGTCTTTCTGCCCCGCTGCCAAAGCAGAAGCCATAATTCGTCTGTGCTGGTTTCAAGGTTGTTTATTCTGTTTATCTCTAACATGTTCTGCTGCCCTGCCGCAGCTCTGTCCTGCAGGGCAGCGTGTGGGGCTCTGCCCTCAGTGGGATGTACAAACATTAAATACCAGAAACTACCTGTGCTGGATTTACAATAACGTGCCAATATCTGTCACCTACGTTGACAGTGTGTCCCCAGCCTAAACCAACAGAAAAATGCCAACACCACAGTGAAACATGGAGGGCATGAAGAAGGAGAAAAAGGACAAGACACCCCAATTTCCTCCATCTTGTCCCCTTTGAACCCCTATCTAGAATCCTAAAATTTTGCTTTTGCACCCATGCCACACTTAATTATTACTCATATCAAACACTCAGAGCTTGTAATTCATCCTGTAAGATTGAAAACTCTTTTCCATGGACAGAGATCACAGACAGTGTCTCTGGGGGCTCTGTCCAGGGGGGTTCCTGACCCCTGCCAGGGTCCCAGACCTGCCAGGGCAGCCAGAGGGAAGCTCTGGATTCCCACACCTGGGGGTGCACAGAGGGGTGAGGACCCCAGGACGGAGATGCTGTGAGGAGGAAGGGAAGGCTCACAGCACCAGCTCCTCTCACCTGCAATTTCTGATCTTCTTTCGAGAGGTGTTTTTCCTTTAGTTTTAACACTTGAGGAATGCTACAGCTGTCCCTCTGCATTGCTTTTATTCTTCCTTTCACCATTTTCTCCTGCAGAGGTTAAAAAGTGCTGCCAGACAGCCCTGGGGCTTTCAGTGCCATATCCAAACTATGTCAGGCTCTCCCAGAGGATTGTCCTGGGAGCTGAGGGACCCCAAAACTCCCATGGGAGAGGGGCAGGCTGGCCAGGCTGACAATGAGCCAGGACAACCTGGTTTCTGTCCTGATCCACAAATACTTGTTTCAAAATTAAGGGAAGCTGCAATGATTTGGGAGAATGAAGCTCCATCAGGAGCAGCTCACTGTCCCAGTGGAAGGAGGTTCAGGCAGGAACCAGCCCTCTGCTCTGAGCCCTGCTGCTCCCACTCCAAATTTTCTGTTTCTGCAGTCGGCCACAGACATCGCTCAGATCCGGGAGCTGCAGACGCAGGTGGAGGATGTGAAGAAGGAAAAACAGAGCCTGCAGGAGAAGGTAATTTCCGCAGGAGAAGGTAATTCCTGCAGGAGAAGGTAATTCCTGCCCAGCCTGTGACATCCCTGCTGAGGAGTGGGACCTCTTTAGGCTGGAGAAATCTTTTCCTGGCAGAGTTCTTGGGATTTACAGCCTGGCTTCTCCCTCTCCCTGGCTGAACTGCCATGGGCTGACCCCGGGGCTGCCTTGGGTGGGCACCAGCAGGGGCTGCGCCCCCTCGCCTCTGTGGCTGTGCCAACCCTCCTGGAATGAGGGATTTAATTTTAAACACATGAGTAATCCCATTAAGTTAAGTGCTTTACTGGAGCGTGGCTAAGCTGCCCAGGAATCAGAAGCAGGACTCGCCCCCTCCGAGGCGGAGCGGGTGGTGCTTTGGAGATAGGCCAGATAAAAGGAGACAAATTCCCCCAGTTTTAGGTCAAATTCAAAATGTGAACCCGAGCTGTACCGGGATCACTAAAAGGGCAGTCTCCTTTGGAGATCTCAGTGTAAGAACTGAGGAAACAGCTTGGTCCAGGCAGCTTTCCACAAAGACTGTGGATTTTTACGCCTGCTGTCCTCAAAGAGTTTGTGAGAAGAGAAAAGCAAAGGAGCCCCAGCCACGTGTCCCTGGTTCTCCTCAAAGCCACACATCAGTGTCAGGCCTGTTCTGTGTGCCTTTAACAGCAGGGAATTCTTTGGGGAGGGAGGGAAATGCTTGGCCTCATCACCTCAGGGGCCAGCGGAGACCCCCAGTGCATGGTAGGGACTGGGGAGGGGTCCAGGAGAGGGTCCAGCAGAGGGGATGAGCAGAGGGGTCCATCAGAGGGGTCCATCAGAGGGGTCCATAAGAGGGATCAGCAGAGGGGTCCAGCAGAGGGGTCCATCAGAGGGGATGAGCAGAGGGGTCCAGCAGAGGGGTCCATCAGAGGGGTCCATCAGAGGGATCAGCAGAGGGGATCAGCAGAGGGGCTGGGGGATGCTGACACAGCCCCTGCTCTCCCAGCTGCAGGCAGCTCAGGCCAGGGCAGCACAGCTGGAGCAGTGCCCGGCCGAGCGCTCCATCGTCAGCCGGCAGGAAGCTCGGATCCGGGATTTGGAGAGCCAGCTGGACTTCCAGGCCGTGCAGATGAAGCGCTTTGAGGTACCCCCTCCTCACCTGCGCTGGTGCCAGGCAGGCCTGGCAGTGCCACCGCCTCCCCTGCGGGGACAGGAGCACCTGGGAAGGGCTGGGAGGGACAGGGGGGGGCTGGGGCAGCCCAGGTGGTTGGTGGCACCGCTGCTCTCGCTCTGTGGGGGTTTCTGACAGCCAGCAGAGGCTTGGTGCTGGCAGGGAGGTTCCCAATACCTCGCCTTCCCCTCACACCCCAGGTGCTGGTGCTGCGCCTGCGGGACAGCATCATCCAGATGGGAGAGGAGCTGGAGAAGGCGGCCGAGTCGGAGGCACGGGAGAGGGAGAACACCAGGTACTACCAGAGGAGGATGGAGGAGATGAAGGCTGACATGGACGAGCTGGTGCAGAGGGAGCTGGAGTCCAGCCGCCGGCGCATGGAGCTGGTGAGGGGGTGCTCCTCCCGGGCTTTGGGCAGATGGAGGTGACCCCTCATAACCCCTGGGCTGGTCTGAGGGCTCCAGAAAAGTCATTTTTGTGTGGTCCTTTGTGGTCCTGGGCTGCTCCTCTGGGAGGGGCAGGGAATTGCTTTGCATCTCTCTGCAGCCCCAAAGCATTGAAGCAAAGCTGTCCTTGGGGACCCTCATGTTCCCTTTCTCCGTGGTTGGTCTGGGAGCCTGGACAGTCACTCTGCTCCATGTTTGGTTGTTTGTTTGTTTTTGTGGGAAGGAGGTGGCTTTGCCTGCCCTGCTCATAGAAATGCAGTTCACGTGTGGATGTGGCACTTGGGGATGTGGTTTAGTGCTGGATTTGGCAATGCTGGGGTACCAGTTGGACTGGATGATCTTGGAGGTATTTCCATCCTAGATGAATCCGTGATTCCAAGTTGCTCAGGTCATTCCTGCAGCTCCTCATGCTGGTTCTCGTCATGTCAGGCAGAACCACAGTGGGTGGGAAATGCCCTGGCCCTGCAGCAGACCCCGAGTGCTGAGTGCTGGCCACAGGGCTGGGTGTGCCAAGGCTGGGTGTGCCAGCCTCAGCCCAAGCACCAGATCCTCCTGGAGCTCCTGGCTTTGCCAAACCACCCCCGTGGCTGCAGCTCAGACAGTGCCAACCAGCAGCTAAACCCACTCCAAGTGAGCAGAGCCCCAGCTGGCTTTGGAGAGCAGCAAAAATAGATTCACCTTCACTTCCCAGCCCTTTCCCAGAGTCTCTTTTCATGTTGTTTCTTCCAGTAATCCAAGGGAAAGCCTCACTCCCGGGTGGTAATTGAAAGATATTGCACTTCTGCTGGCAGCAGGGCTGAATTAGGAGCAGTTATCTTATCAATAATCTTTTAGTTAGCTATCAAGGAGATCTCGGGATTTATTCTGCCCTGAGGCTGCCAGCCTTCCTGAGGGGAATGGTGTGAATGATTCCCAGTCCTCTTGCTGCACCAGGGTCAGGCTTTGCCCTGCCTGCTCTGCCTCCCCTGGGCATGGAACCTCTCTGATGCTCTGCAGGGCCATGAGAGGGGGAGTGAGAGGCTCTGCTGAGGTGCCACGGGCATTCTGAGCCCCCTGATCCCCGTGGGTCCCTGTGGGTCCCTGATCCCTGTGGGTCCCTGTGGGTCCCTGAGGCTGTGGGTGCTGTGACATCGGGTGTTTGCTGCAGCTCTGCTGGAAGGGCAGCGTTTGGAACGTGGATGCTCTGGCTGTTGGGATGGGGGTGGGTTCTTTTTGCTGTATTTTTGGTGTTGCGCCTGTATTTTTAGAAGCTTTCTGAATGTTTCATGTGGGGATGTGAGCGATGGGTGAAGGAAGGTACAGGAATCTCTTTGCACTCTTGTGTTCTCCCAGATAAACTGTGCAAAGAGGTCTGGAAGGGAATTTCGAGGCACCTCCCTCAAATAGGACACAAAACCCCGTAAACAGCTGAACTTGTGAGGCAGGACTGAGGGCTCTGGGTTTATCCAGGCACTCGGATATTTGGGATCATCTCTGGAGAGAGGAGCAGCTGGGCTCCCCCAGACACACCTCCCCATCCCAGCTTTCCCATGGTGGTTGCTCCATGGGAACTGGCTCCAGGGACTGCTGTGACATTCCTGGGAGCAGAGGCATCCCCCAGACTGTGTGTCCTCCTAAGAGCACTTAAATAAAACATGGGGCAGAGCTGTGATCGAGGAGCCCAGCCCAGCTTGTCGGGAGCCTGGTGGGGAGCATCAATAGTTAATAGAAAGCCACTTATGGCTCTGCTCCTGCTAAATCCCCCATCAATTATAAATCCAGCCTGAATTATTCACTTGACATTACTTAAGTCATGCTCTGCTCCTAACAATTTTTAGAAAACTTATTTAAATACACGGTGGTGAGGTTGTGGACTTACCACACACTGTTGAGGTTTAAAGGGGGGTGTTGAAGAGACAAATTCCTGGCAGAGACTGGGTTAAAAACCTTGTTTTGTTTCAGAGCTGCCTGCCTGTATATGTAGGTATATATATAGCATATATATACACAATATACAGAATAGAAGGTATTTTGTTCTCACAGTGGAAAATCCCATGCCACCATCCCCAGCCAGGCTTAGGGCATTTATTCCATCCCTCCTTCTTTTCCCACCCAGTTTAGGGCAGTTGGGAGGCAGCCTTGTGCCATTCAGTAGGGAACACCCAGTGAGGAGCAGGGATGAGAGCTGGGTTTTATTCTTTGGGTGGTGGAAGCAGCAAACATCAAAACCAGCATCTCTTAGGTAAGGAAACTTGACTGCTGAATTAGGCCTTGTGCTACAGGGAGCTCACACCAGCCAGGCAGATGGCTCTGCCTCATGAATTTTGTAAGAAGGATGGGTTTTGAACACTTTCCAAGCATGTTTGGTAATGATGGGGGTAGGACTTGGCCCTGCTGGACTCTCTTTGCTCTGGCTGCACATCCTGGGTTTCCTCCCTGGAGCTGGAGCTCCTCTTCCAATAAAATCTGGATCCCAGCCTGCAGCAGCTCCTCGTTTCTCAGCTGCTGTGTTGACACCCAGAGCCTGACAGGCCATCCCCAGCCCACTGGTGTCCTCAGACCATAGCAGAGTCATGGTGAGGAGGGAGGGGTGGATTTCCAGCTTGGGGAGCTTAAACCCAAGCCCAGCTCTCTGTGTTCACCATGCGTGCGCAAACCCTCGTGCTTGTCCCCTACGTGTGTCCCCTGGTGAGGCTGCAGTGCAGGGAAGGAGGGAACAGGGGCTGGGAAGGGTGGAGCAGGGCTGGCAGCAGGCGTGTGTCGATGTCTCTGGGTTCTGAGGGTCAGGGTGACCCCGAGATCGCAAAGGGTCTTCGCTTCCCTAGCCCAGCGCAGCCAAAGAAGGAGCCTGGAATGTGTCCGATTGTGCTTTCAAGGTTGTTTATTTCTTCTTATCTAAACATTCTTTCTCTGACCTGCTGAGCTCTGCCTAGAAAGGAAGCCATGGACACCTGCCCTCGAGCCTGGCTCCCACCTTATATACTCAAAACTACGTGTCTATTTTTACAATTTATTAGCAATTCCCGACATCCACATTAGACTGTGAATCTCTACCTTAAACCAATAGAAAAGTGCCACCATCACACCAAGACATGGAGGACAAAACAAAGAGAAGAAGGGTAGGACATGCCCAAATTCCTCCATCTTGACCACCTGAATTATGTTCTAAAACTCCCAAATTTCTGCTTTTCCACCCTGTGTTAATTCCAATACCACACTACTCAAACCCTTGTGGCTTGTAATTCCTCATCCAGAGTTGGCAGCTTTTTCCATGGGCTAAAATCGAAGCCACAGCTGTTGTTGACTTCATGCCAGGGTCTCTGAGACCCCTGCCAGGGCCTGGAGCCAGCCAGGGCAGCCAGAGGGATGTGCTGGGCTCTGACAGGCGTGGAGCAGGGATGTGGGACAAGGTGTGGCTGTCATGGCATCTGGGACAAGGCAGAGTCTGGGATTTCCCTGCTGAGCCTGCTCTTGGGGAAGGATGGTGCTGGCTGCTGACTGACCTGCCGGCACAGCTTGGATTTTGTGGCAGAATTCAAGGATTTGGATGAGGGATCTGGGGTGAAAACTCTGGAATGGGCTCCAGCCGTGGGCAGGAGCCTCTCGGGTCTCTTCTCCTGGAGAGCCAGGTGTCTTCTTGATGCAATTCCTGGGGAAAAGCAGAGGCTGACCCAGCTGGGATGAAACCCTGTATTGTAAATGTAGGTGAACTTAATGGGAAGAAATAACAATGACTGACTCAATTCAGAAGGCTGAATTATTTTTTTTTATTATAACCATGTTAAAATGCATTAATATATTATATAAAAGGAGGATACTAACACTACATACTACTTGCTTTGACTCTATAACTCTAACATAACTTGTGACCCTCTCTGGAGAGTCCAGAGGGACTCTCCAATCCAATCCAGGTGGGTTGGATTGACCATCAGGCTTGAGCAATTCTTACTAGAATCCAGTCAAGCACTCACTCTAGGTAAACAATCCTCTAAACACATTCTACAGAAGAAAAACAAAAATAAAAATACTTTTCTCTTTCATTTCTCTCTGTGCACCTCTATAAAAAAGAGGGAGAGAAATGTGCTTACCACAGCCCTGGCTGGTCGAGGCACAATCCAGGGATTTTCTGTACCCAGCACATCTCCACTGACCCTCCCCACTGAGCACATCAGGGGGGCTGGTGGGTGCTATCCTAAAATCAGCTTTCTTTAATGAAGCTGTGAAACTCATCAGCACAATAATTAACTGATTTTACAGAAAACTGAAGTACAGGTGTGAAGATACTTTTCACAAGTTGTTTTTTTTTTTTATTATTATTTTTCGGAGTGCCTCAGTGTGAATAGTGTAAATAACCTTTTATTTTTCTGGTTCTTTTGCTGGCAGATCTTTGTGCCCTGGCCCCACTATGGCCATGTTGTGTAACACAACAGAGGTGGAACTCCAGGATTAAGGGTTTTTGCTTGTTTGCAAACTTCAAAGGTTTTTGGGGTTTTTTTTTGTGGATTTTTTGTTTTTATTTTTGGTATGTTTTTGTGGGTTTTTTTTGGGGGGCAGTGTTTTTTATGTTTTTTGGTGGATTTTTTTGTGGTTTTTTTTTTTTTAGTTTTCTGAGTTTTTAATGTTTTTTGGGAGGCTTTTTTGTATTGTTTTTGTTTTGTTTGGTTTTTGTGGTTTTTTTGATGCTTTTTTGTGGTTTTTTGGAGATTCTGAGTTTTTAATGGATTTTTTGTTGGTTTTTTTGTGGGTTTTGGGTTTGGTTTTGAGTTTTCTGGGTTTTTAATGTTTTTTGGGAGGCTTTTTTGTTTTGTTCTGGTTTCCGTTCTGTTTGTTTTTTGTGGTGTTTTTTGGTGTGTTTTTTTTGAGGTTTTTTATTTTTTATGTTTTTTTGTGGAATTTTTGTGGTGGTTTGTGTTTTTTTTTTTTGTGGGGGTGTTTTGTTTTGGTTTTTTTGTTTGTTTGTTTATTTTTTGTAGTTTGGGTTTTTTTTTTGGTTGGTGGGGTTTTTTGTGGTTTTTTTTTTTGTGTGTGTTTTGTGTGTGGTTTTTTTTTTTTTTTGACGCTTCCAATGAACTCGAGAAGCCAAGTCTTTGAGGAAGTGTAAGGACAATTTTCATCAAAGGCAGCCGGTCCTTAGAGGTGAGGGCAGGTGATGGAGGAGCCACAAGTGAAAACTCGGCTTCGAATGCGCTAATTAGGGCTGCTGTGATTCCGCTTTGCCATGAAAAGAGGAAATTCCTCAGGAATCCATCAGCTGCTCCCACACCAATTACACGGTGCTCGCCCCATCTCACCCCAGCCTTCAACTCCGCAAATTTTGTCACTTCAAACTTTCCGAGAGCGCCGCGAGTTAACTGCTTAATTAAAAATAATAATGATGGATGAATTCCGCAGGTGCACGCTGAGTTATTAGAAGAAAAGCGATCCAAGTTGGGCTAATTAGATTACACTTGACTCGAGGTGGATGGGAGAGAGCAAAGGTGGTGTTGTCACAGCAGAACCACAAACAAAAATACGAGGTGGTGACAAGGACGTGATGCTGGCCTGGGAATCCTTTGGAGTCCCACGGCTCGTTTTGTTTATTTCCTTTTAACTTCCCTTCAAATAATTCTGAGACAAAATTAATTGGGGGGAAAAAAAGCCTCTAAAGGAGAAGATGGTTTAGAAATCCCTTTCCGTGAGGGATGTGCAGAGTCTTTTCAGGAGTCCAGCTGAGAGCAGCTCCCTGTGGGTTTGAGGAGTGCCAGGCATCACTGAGTGAGCTCCTGTCCCTTTGTCTTTGGGAAACCTTTAATCCAGGCTCCCTGTCAGCAGGAATCAACCTCAGCCTTCTAAAATCATGATTTATGACCCACCAGCACAGCCAGTCCTTTGCTCTGGGGTAATCTCTCCCCCAGTGTGAATGGGAGAATCTGGTTTGGAAATGTATTCAGAGCCAGGAAGAATGTATATTTTATTTATTGGTGATAAAATATACATCAGCCAGGGGCTCTGAGATGGTCAGGCTGGTCCTGCTGTGTGTGTCTGACTGGTTTGGTGGAAGCAGCCAGAGATGCTGGTGCCAAAAGGGGTTTAAGGGCAGAGGATGTTCCTTTTAGCCCCTCAGGTCCATGGTGCAGATTGACCAATAATATGAGTTTCCCCCTTTATTTCTCTCCTTTTTTCTGCTCAGATGAAACAAAAAACCAGCTCTGCCCAGTGTGAGGGTGTCAGTTCTCAGCCCAGGAACTGTGTGAAAAGAGAAAAGCTTCCTGGATTTACATTTAGATAGAAACAACTTGTGTCAAATGTGCCCAGCAGCTCCCCGGCTGCCAGGGGCCTGGTGCTGGGATGGGCCTTGTCAATTTGTGTTATGCAGACAGTATTTTTCCCTCTGAAATGGAATCATTTTGGCAAAATTATTCCTTTCCTTGAGAAAATTGTAGGGTATAGGGAAAAACATGAGGTGTCTCTGTGGATGAGATTTGGGACAGCTGGGACATGGGGCTGAGCGGTGTCAGCTTTATTTTCTGCCTCACATTCAAATCACACTTCGGGTGACCTGAGGGTCACCCCAGTGCCCTGCAGGTCCCCCTCCCGAGGCCACCAGTGTGGGTGGCACAAGATGTGGGTGTCAGGGATGTCCTGGAGGTGGCAGGTGGAGCCCCAGCTCCCTTTCCTCTCAGCATTCCCAGGGTCATGCAGAAGGTAGCAAGGTCAGGGGGGACCCCAGCAGCCAGGGGGACCCCTCCAACCCCCAGGACATTCTGTTTGCTGCTCCCACAGCCATGCCAGGGGATTTCTCTGTCCATGGCCAAGGAAGTGGGTTTGGGGTGCTGGTAGGGGGATACTGTTCCGTGCCTCCCTGCCCATCCCTGTTAACAAGGGCAGAACAGAGGAGTGGAATGAAATGCAGCCACTGAACTATATTTAATTTGTGCCATAGCCTGCAGATGAGGAGCTGGGTCATTACCAGCCCGTGGAAGGGCTCAGCTCTTTATCAGGCAGCAGCTCCACTCTGTGCTCCTGCAGTCCCAAATACTGAACCCAGGCACGTGGGCACCCGGAGCTGGGGGCTATTTTCTCCTCTCAGGGTTGGTGTGCCCTATTCTGAGCCCTGCAGGTCCTTGATGAAACACTTCCCTTGATGAAACAGCTCCTTTCACCTTCTGCCTGAGCCAGGAGGGAAGTGGAGGCCTTGGAAACACCAAATTTCAGAAAACTTCTCATCAGCACGGCGCGTTTCCCCGGTGCCAGCGCGTTCCTGGGAGCTGCTGTGACACCGTGCGACCCAAACAGGGCTGTTTCTTTTGTGTTTTGATGAACTGAGATGCTCTTCCCCCGGGGCCCGTGTGCCTGGTGATTCCAGCCCTTCCATTATTTACTGTGACAGTGTGCCAGCTCCTGTGCCGTGGCCTGTCGCAAGGCATCCCTCACCTTGTCACCGCTGCCACGGCGATTTCACAGCTGGCAGCTTCAATCACTGTGGGCCTGCTGCTCCCTCCTCTCTGCCCTGTGATGGTTGGGAGCAGCAGGAAGGGTTCCTTCCCAGCTGGAAGGACTTGGAATGTGATGAGCATTGGGTGCAGGGCCAGGCTGGTGCCCTTGGTGTGCAAGGTGGGTGATGTTGGTGCGTGGAGCCGTGTGGGTCGTGTCAGATTGTGAATCCTGGAATGGTTTGGGCTGCAGGGACCTCAAAGCTCATCCTGTCCCACCCCTGTCATGGGCAGGGACACCTTCCACTAGCCCAGGTTGCTCCAAGACCCATCCAACCTGGTCTGGGATACTTCCAGGGGTGGAGCAGCCACAGCTTCTCTGGGCACCCGGTGCCAGGGCCTCGCCACGCTCACAAGGAAGGATTTCTTCCCAATATCCCATCTGTCCCTATCCTCTGGCAGTGGGCAGTCATTCCCTGTGTCCTGTCACTCCATGCCCTTATCCAAAATTCCTCTCCAGCTCTCTTGGAGCCCCCTTAAGCACTGAAAGGTGCTGGAAGATGCAGTTTATATTCACAGACCCCACAGGACACGGTGCAGCTAACCAGCCCCGACAGGCACTGGGAGCACTGGGGTGGGGGTGGGATGGTTTAGCAGCCTCAGCCGAGGTGCAGACCCTCACCTGGTGTCCCCTGTGCAGGAGCAGCAGCTGGCAGAGCTGGCAGAGGTGAGGCAGGTGCTGCAGGCTGACCTGGGCACCTCCATCCGCCGCATCGCAGACCTGCAGGTGGCCCTGGAGGGGCTGCGCGACAGCGACGACAGCGAGGACAGGTGAGAATGGGCTGGGGGGAGCTGGGGGGAGCTGGGGGGAGCTGGGGGGAGCTGGGGGGCTCAGCTGCTCTGTGCTGGGGAAGGGGCAGCACTGGGCAGTGCCAGTTTCATGTCCTCATCCTCACGTGTTTGCGCTGCGTGCACGAGCAATGAACTTGGTGTTTTTGAAGGTTTCATGGAAAGTGTCACTCATGAAATCATTCTGGGTGGCCCGGCTTAAAGTGAGCAAAAAGGGTGGGAATAGCCCCATTTGTACAGCAGCCCCCTGGCAGCAGTTTGTTGGTGCCCCAGTGCTGGGTTTCATTGAGTGAAAATCCTGCTTTGATCATCCCCAGGAGCTGGAGGAGCCAGTGAAACTGGATGATTGGGTAGAGGGTTTTACCAGGAAAAAAATGAAGAAAGAATTCCAGTGCATTTTTCAGGTGTTATTTCTAAAGCCCTTCAATTTTCCCCTCTGCCACACAGCTAAAGGGGCATCATGACAAATGGAGACAAAAGAGAGAAATGAGTTTAAAAGGGAAAAAAAAAAAAAAAAAAAAAAGAGGAAAAAGCTGAGGTGTGCTTGTCACCACTTGCTCTTGCTCTGCGTGCTGATTAAACCAGGGAAGGGTGAGAGAGAAACCGTGAGCTTAGACACTCACTGCTTCCCAAAAAAGAGCGATTTCCAATGCAGCCGATGCATCAGTGGAGGTGAGAGATGCATCAGGGGAGGTGAGAAGTGCTTCCTGGCAAGAACAGCGGCCCCGAGCATCACTCCCCATTCTGCTCCCTCCTTTTGGCCCGGGCTGGAGCCCGGCCTGACCCGTGCTGGGAGCAGGGAGGGCTCTCCAGCCCCACTCCCTGTGGCTGTTTTGGGAATGTTGCTGGCTCAGCCCAACCCCTGTCCTGCCACACCGGCTCTGCTGCAGTTGGGCTGGGAAGTTTGGCACCTGGAGGTGGCTTTGGGGTCCCCAGGGCCATCGTTGCCCCTCTCCCCTGGTCCCTGCAGAGTGCTCTTTTTATAGAGAGCTTCGTCTAAACCAGTTCTATTGGTCCTAGAGTGAAAACAATTCACAGCATTGGTGTGCAGTGAATGATGCACAGTGGCAGAACTTATCTATAAACAATGTGAACAACAAGAGAGATAAAGAATTATTTACATTATTTTCCAAAAGTTTCCCACCCACTCGCCATCAGAGTGAGCCACAACCCCTCCTGCCTGCACCTGCAGAGCTGACAGCTCTCTCCTGTCCCCTCAGGGATGCCTGCTCCACTGCTGGCTCCGTGCTCAGCCTGGAGCCCACGGAGAGCCTCAAGTCCTGGCCGAGCTCCTCCTCGGGCTGGACATCCCTGGTGGGTACCAGCGTGGCCGGCAGCGTTTCAGCACCGTCCGTCGGCAGCCGCAGCGCCCAGAGCCTCAGGTGAGGGACCCCAGCCCATCCTGCGTGTCTTGGGGGGTGCTGAGGTGTGGGGGCTTCCTCTGGGATCTCTTGGGACGTGCAGAACAGAGCTCAGAGGGACCTGTGGTGTTTAAGGTCAAAACATCAAATCAAGGGAGGCAGTCACTGCCACGCCAGGATCAGTGAAACACCAGATGAAAGTCACTACATCAAAAACATGCTTCAAGCAGGAAAATATCCCTTGATGTATTCTCTGGAGATAATTTAAAGAGGCAATGCAGCCTATTTGAGGATTTGTATGCCATATGCTCACTGCTGAGGGTGAGGGATGTGTTTTTGCTGTTCTAATATCAAATATGTTAATTTTTGATGATGATGCTGGTGGGCTGGGAGAGAGTTGGAGAGGGGTCCAAGCACCTGCACAGCCCAAATGTCCCTGCTTTGCTTTGTGGTGCCCAGGTGCTTGTCCTGAATTAGTGCCCATCAGAGGGACCACCCAGTCCAGAGAAAAACCCCATTTCTGTGTCGCAGAGAAATTTGTGTTTTGCGTGTGAAACAATCACATGGCTTGAGTTTGGGAAAGCTCTGTAAATCAGGGTCTGGGGCTGCATTGTGGAGGGAGGTGGTGAGGATGGAGGAGGGTGTCAGATCCCCTTGGAGGTTTGTGAGGGCAGAGATGGAGCAGGGATGGAGTCCTGGGGTAGGGAGCAGGGTGGGCTCCAGAGAGCATCCTCACCCTGGAGGGAAGGTGGAAAAGGTGCCAACCATCCAAACTCAGGGTGGGCAGGGCTGGCAGTGCCCCTGCTTGCAGCCCCTGTGATTTGGGGCCTCCCCAACCCCCTGCTTCCCCAGGGATGGTGTCTCAGGACACGCATCACTATTTTAGAGTTTTTCTCCCCATAAGCAGGGCAGGTGCCAGGCTGAGGCTGGGCACAGCTCACTGCAGGTGTGTAGGGAGATGCTCCAAGGTGACAGGATTTGTCAGGGTCGTGGAGCACAGTCTCACTGCAGACATTAGTGTTAATCTCCCTACTCTGATTCGGGAGAGCTCCATCCCCATGGCCCCCGCCTGCCCTGTGCAGGAGAATCGCTGTTGTCAGAACTGATGTTCTGAAGAGCACTTCCCCTGCAGGAAACACCCTGGGGGAGCTGCAGCACTTTGGGGAGGCACAGGGCAGAGTTTAAGAGCAGTCAGGCAGGGCAGAGACCTGTGGGGAGATTACAGAATTCTGGAATGGTTTGGGTTAGAAGGGACCTTAAAAATCATTTCATTCCAACTCCCTGACATGGACAGGGACATTTTCTATAGACCAGAGATGAGTGGGAGCCCTGAGAGGAGTGGGCTGAGCTCACTGGGACCCTACACAATAAATAAAGCTCTTCCTAAGTGCTGTTGAGGAGCCTTTGGTCCAAATGCCCCAACTCTGATCATTAATGAATGACAGAAAAACGGGCATTGTGGCTAATATTTTATTTCTGAGCTGAAACACCATGGGTTTATAGTAGAAGATATGAAGGCTTTCAGCTTTGACATCGGGAGGAATTTCCTCATGGAAAGGGTGGTCAGGCCTTGGAAGGGGCTGCCCAGGGAGGTTTGGAGTGCCCATCCCTAAGGAAGGTGGCACTCAGTGCTCTGGGATAGGTGACAAGGTGGGGATTGGTCACAGGTTGGACTCAGTGATTCAGGATTTCTTTCCACCCTCAGCGATTCTGGAATTTTGGGGTTTACTGGGCTGCATGTGGCCCTTGTGAAAAGCAAATTATCCTGAGCCCTGGCCACTGTGTGACCAGCACCCTCTGTCCTGGGGATGGGAAGGGGCAAATTGCAGGTGCTGGTGTGGGAGCTGGGTTTGGCTGCAGCTCATCCAAGATGGAAATGGAGCGAGGAGGGGATGAAACGCAAACAAACAAGAGACGAGACTGGAGGTAATAAAAATGAGATCAGGGAAACGAGCTCTTCCTTATTAAGATTCCTTTGTCTTACACAAGTTCCCAGTAATGAAAAACGAGTCCTGCTCGTGTTGGCTGCTCAGTGCCACATCTGGGCTGTTTGCTGAACAAACAGCTGCCAGGAGCCAGAGGAGAGCGAGGAGCTCTTGTCACCCCTGTGCTTACAGGAGGGACAGCTTTGATTAACGTTTCCTTTAATTCTCTGCTATTTAAATGCCTGTACAAAATGCTGGCCAGCAGTGCTAAGCCTCCATAAATATGACACAGGGCAGGGTTGGAATAAATATGATTTTTTTTATGAAGAAGCGAATTTAAAAGTTTATGTATTTACTGTGCCCCTTTCCAGGCAGGTCAGGGTTGTGCTGTGATGGGAGGTTGTCCAGAGGTGCAGTCAGGGAGTGGATCCACAGCCCAGGATCTGCCTCTCCATCCTGCATCCCGCAGGATTGGGGCACCCACAGCCCTGGCATCACCCCAGGATCACCCTGACAGCAATTCCCCTCCTACTTTAGTTCACAAAACCAGGAGCCCTGGTCCTGAAGCTGCTGGGGATCCGACACATTTATTTTTAACCACGATTGTGTCAGAAGCAAATCATTACATGGGAAACTGGGAGCTCTTGTGTGGATGACGTTGTGACAAGAAAATCCTCTTCTGACAGAAATGAGGCCAATTTCTCTTCCCTCCCTGAAATGGAGCTGTCTTGGCTTTGTTTATGAGCTCCCAGGAAAAGCATCCCAGCCACACTTTTGGCCCTGGTCATGTGCTGCAAAGCATGTGTAGATTTTATTGTATAAATGATTTCAACTGGTATAATTGTAATCATGCTAATTGCTATGTAATCTTCACTAATTATTGTTGTATGTCATTTGATTTGGTGTGATTGGCAGATTTCAGAGCTCTGTTGGCTTCCAGGTGCCTCCCGGGCATCTTTTGCTGGGAAAATCATCTTCCCTGAGGAGGAAGCAGGAGCAGGGCTCTGCTCAGGGCTGGAGGGGCTCATGGTCCTGCCTCCTGTGGCATCACCTTCCTTTGGGGCTGCCTGGGACTTCCTGGGGTGATTCTGAGCCCTGGGAATTCGTGCTGGGAATCAGCCAGGGATTTATGGGTGGGCAGAGGATGCCGAAGGATGGGGCGTGACTGTCTCATTCTTGTGTCCTGCCTTGTGAGGAGGATGAGGATGAGGATGAGGATGAGGATGAGGATGATGACCCATTAATTTGGAGGGAGTTTTGGTAGGCATAAGGGAACAGTTAAAGAAACAAATCATGGAATGGTTGGGTGGGAAGGAGCCTTCAAAATCATCCAGTCCCACCCCTGCCATGGGCAGGGACCCCTTCCACTATCCCAGGTTGCTCTGAGCTCTGTCCAGCCTGGTCTTGGACAATTCCAGGGGTGGGGCAGCCACAGCTGCTCTGGGCAGTCTGTACCAGGGCCTCATCACCTTCCCAGGGAAGAATTTCTTCCCAATATCCCATCCAACCCTGCCTCTGGCAGTTTAATGGGTGCAGAAAATAGGAACTGTTGGCATGGATGGGGCAGTCTTGGCCTTTGGCTGGAAACCAGGCATGGAGAGTGTGAGGTTCCTGCTTGGACTCCAGGGCTGTGTGGCTCTTGCCAGCCATGGAAGCTGGAACAATCCCAATTTGCAGCTTTCACTCCATTTCAGACTCTGAAGATTTTCAGAAAAGCAGTACCTGTCTGTTATGTTGAACAGGACAATAAATACAGCGTGTTCAGTCCTTGTTCACAGCCCATTAGTGGTTCTCACATCTCCACTCACTTTTATCTCAGCCTTAAAACCCAAATAAAAACCTTGATGCCGGTGTTTAATTTATGAAAGCCATTCATGCAGCGCACAGGTTACAATATTATTTGGAAACGTGCAGAATGAATGGAGCAATTTCTGTACAAAACCTGACCAAAGGATTACACCAGCCATTTAAGTAAGATGCAATTTAGGATCCTAAAATCCAGCACTATTGAAGTGGCTCAAACTATTAATCAGCTGCGGTGCTTTGGCAGCGTCAGCACGGGACGGCCCTGAAGGGTGAAGTGATTCAGGGAGATGAAATCTCTGCTTAATTCCTTTTGTGTTGAATAATCAAATGATTTAGGCTGGTTAAATGAGTAGGAAAAGGTGGTGGGTACCAGTTCAGGGGGGCACCTCCGTGCCCTGGGCTGTGCCAGTGGGCGCCAGGCAGCTGGAGCTGTCCCATTGCCCCTTCCCTTCTGCAATCACACATTTCCCAGATCTGGAGTTTATCTTCGGCCCATCTCAGCATGTAAATTATTTCATGGGTCAGCAGAGCCTGGTCAGAGTATCCCGGGATTATCCCACCCCATTCCCATGGCAACAGCAGCATTCCCAGGGCAGGAAGCTTCATTAGGGCCACGCTGCTCCCTCGCAGAGATGCGTTTGTTGTTTGGGTCCTGCCGCTTTGCTCTGCCCTGTTCCTTCTTTTTCCCTCCTCCTTTCTTTCCCAAATTCACATCCCAGTAAGGCCAGGCCTTGCTTCCCTAGGCTGAGCAGTGATGGGGTCCCTGGGAGCGGGGACAATGCCAGCAAGCAAATGCAGGTGCTTGGAGGGGATCATAAAGTGTCCCATCAGGGGCTTAGTGACACCGTGACCCCAAGCCCGCTGGGGACTCCCATCTCTGTGACAGGGACAGCCTGGCTGGGGCCTGGGTGTTGATTTTCGGGCTGAGCAGAGGTTGATCCCATGTGGTTCCTGCACCAGCCCCTCTTTGGGACGTGGCCCTGTCTGGCCATCCCCCCTCACTGTGCAGGAATACCAAATTCAGGTGCTGCAGGGCTCCTGTTTGAGCAGCAGCCTGGGTGAAACATGCCCAGCAATAACTTTGAGATGTGTCAGGGGTGTGCTGCGAGCTGGTTTCATAAAATTTTAGTGAATAATCTTTGGCTTTGACAGAAATAAAATAAATCCTACATATTGCTGTAATCTGTCAAGAAAAAGGATATTTGGAGGTAAGTGCTGGCTTGGCAGAGCTGAAGCTGGTCACACCACACGCTCTACACCAGGAATTATCTGGGCTGGCTGACCTGGGCTTATTTGAGATAAAATCCTTGGGCATCGCCCAACTGCTGGATGCAACAGTGAGTTTATCCCGAGACTCCCATGGCAATGCCAGCTTTTCACTGCTCATTGTCCCTGCTGGATGACATCCCGGTCCCTGGGAACCCCAGAGTCTAAACTAACCCCTGTTTCTGTCATCCAGGGTGAGCAGAGACACCAAGGTGAGCCATCCTCTCTCCTCCCGGAGCGCTGCCCGGCCCGGCGAGCCTGCGGATGCGGGGAGGACAGCGAGTCCCCTGCTGGGAGCCAGAAGACGGGAATATGGCACACCTCGGGCAGAAGAAGAGGAGGTGGAGAGCCCAAAGAAGCCCGTGGATAGGACAGGAGAGACATCCCCATCGGTGCTGCGGCGGGGCGGCTCCCCGGCTGCGGACGGGCGCTTCCCCAGCGCGGTGTCCCCACCGGTGCCCGGCAGCAGGAGGCTCTCGGTGGCATCATCGGTGGCATCATCGGTGGCATCATCGGTGGCCTCGGGGCCGGTGCCCAGCTCTGCCGCCCTCTCGGAGTACGTGGAGGAGCTGCGGCGGCAGCGGGCGGCGGAGCCGGGGCTGGGGGATGCTTCTTCCCTGCCCATTTACCGCACCACCGGCGCCGCGGCCCTGCGGCGCTCCAGGGCTGCCCCAGCGGCCGAGGAGCCCCCGGGGAGGATGGAGAAGGATCCGGCAGGGCAAGGGGAAGGAGCAGCTGCCAGCCTCACCCGCTCCTCCAGCCTGCGGAGCATGGCCTCGGAGCCGGCCGAGCCGACGCGTTCCCCAGCGCTGAAAAAAGCATCGAAATTCGGCTCCTACGACTCCCTCCTGCCCGCCCTGGACGGCTCCGGCCGCCGGCCCAGCTCCCCGGCTGCCGGCACGGAGCTGCCGCGGCTGAGCTCCTGGAGGAGCTGCCTGGAGCCCTCGCTGGAGGACGTGGAGCTGGGCAAGGAGCCGGGGGCATTTCTGAGCTCCCTGCCCGGCGATGGGCTGGGTGAGGGGAAGGGGAGCGACCCCTTCAGCTGGCGAATACCCACCCTCAACTACGAGAGGAGAACCAAGGTTGACTTCGATGATTTCGTGCCGGCCATCCGCAAGTCGCGCTCCGCCAGCAGCCTGGCCAGGCCCCGCAGGGACAGGAGGGACGGGCAGCGGCCCCTCACCGTGCGCTTCGAGGATGAGGCCATAGCGGGCAGCCCAGAGACCAAGGGCACGGCCAAGTGCAGCCGGGAAGAGCCTGGAGGCCTCTCGGACTCATCCTCATCCTCTGGATCCCAGCGGTCCTCCCGCAGCGCCGACAGCATCAAGCGCAGGCCCAGAGGGGCCGGGGAGGGCTCCAGCGGCAGAGCCCAGGGCAGCGGGGTGAGCCGAGCCGAGGCCGAGGGGAAGGAGGACGATGTCAGCAGCATCATGAAGAAGTATCTGGGCAAAGACTAAGGTAAGTGTGCTAGCCACCGATGGTACGGGCTCAGAGCTGCGGGTGCACGTTTGGGGTGCTGGCCCTGAGCCTCGGTGCCTGTGGTGATGTTGGGGAGAGGATATCTCAGGAGAGCAGGAGTCACCATGTTCCTCCTGGCGTGTCAGAGCATCCCAGGGCTGCCAGGGTGTCCCTCAGGTGTAATTTCTATAGTTTTCCCCCCCTCCACGCAGCCCCCTCTAGGATCTGACCACCTCAGAGATATGGGGCTGTGAGGGGAGGAATTCCAGGAGAGGGAAAAGTATTCAAAAGAGGCTCTTACCCCAGGGAAGTTGGAACAGCTCTCTTTATTCTGTGGTGTCCATGGAGAGCGGGGCAAAAGAGAAAGAGCAGGAAGTTTCAGGGGTCTATATAGGTTTTGGACAGGGTGGGCTCTCCTGGCTCCCTGCCAACCCCGTTGGGGCAGGAAGGAGGATCCAGGGGTTATCATGATCAGAGCCACAGAGGCCCGGGGAAAGGGGGGCACAGGGTGTCCCTGAGCTCACCGTAACACTCGGGGTGTGTGGCACTGGCTCTGGTCCCCCTTTGTACCTTCAGAGCTGCAGTGGGGACGCTGCTGGTGCCAGGGACAGCCCCAGAGACCTCCACAGCACCCGCTCGGAATTCACTGGGGTTTCCCAAAACCAGCATTCCTCAGCTCCCACCCCAGCACCCGGCAGACTCATCCCCCCAAGTGCTCCCTCCTCAGGGGCCCAAGTTTCTTGTGGTGATTAGAAACCCGCTCAGGCTGGATGCTGGGGGTTCCCTCTCTAGAGGATGGGGCTCCCACCTGGCCCAGACATCCTTCCCCCAGTCCTCCACAGCCTCTGACACCCACGTGGATGCCATATCTTGGATTGCAACTGACTCTTGGAGAATTAGGATTTATTGCTGCGATCCAGGTTTGAAAGCGGAGTCCCTAATGAATGTGCCACAACTGTAATTAAGTGTTTAAAATAGATTAGAAAAACATTTTGTAAAACCATTGCCTTTAGAGTAACTTATCGGATGTCAAGCTGTGACCAAATTGACTAAGCCAACACACGAAGGGAGCGCGTGTTAATAAAACATTTCTTTCCAGGAAGCAAATTTGCATAATGCAACGTCCCACTTTCTGCAGGATTCATTTCCATCGAGCGCAGCAGCTTGCCCCGACCCACAGTGACGAGGAGCCACGTTGGGCACACAGCTTCCCTGCTCCTGGCAGAACCACCTCACCTGAGCAGAGACTGCAAATGGCTCCACAAAACTCATGGGATGGTTCTACAAACTTTTCTTGGTCTTGGTTTCCTCATGCTCCTGCCCCGTTTCCCAGCGACGCAGCTCTGCTCAGGGCCAGCCGCGGGGACAAGGACTTTCCTGTTCTCCTGCAGTTGTTTGACTTGGGAGTTGGTGCTTAAATTAAAACCCAGCGGCTGCCACAGGTGCTGAGGATGTGCCATGGACTGGGAAAGCTGCTCTGAGGGGAGCTGGAGGGACACCAAACCCCTCCTTTGTCACCCAGAGCTGCAGCCCAGGTGTTTCATCCCACATTGCACTGCTCAAAATTCAGCTGATTTTCCAGGGTGCTCTTGGGTCTCAGTGTGACACCCAGCAACAGCAGAGCTCTGAAGCTTTTATAATTCCACAGGTGTTTGATGGATCCATCTGTGCTTCCATGGCTCCAGCCTGTGCGGGACACCTGGGCACATCCCAGTGGCATGCAAGGCACATGGGCAATGGGGGGTTCTATTTAATGTCTGCTTGGTTTTTACACAATAAAAAATTTGCTTATTTGACACGCAGGTCCCTTCTTGTTATTCCTTTCCCCACGGTGGGAGCAGGTCTGTGGAAGTTGTGCAGTGCAGAGCTGAGCACCTCCTTCCACAAAATCCTCTTTTCTCAGCCTCACCACTCCTGCCTAGAAGAGATCCAAACTTATTCCTCGATCAGAGATTTGGGGCAAAAAGATAAAGGTCCATGCACAAATCTCTCCTCTCCATCAGGGATTTCTAAGTCATTTCCTCGGCTAGGATATTTCCACCAATTTACACATTCTCCTGGGATCCCCCGGGACAGCCGCAGGGCAATGGCAGCTTGAAAGGCCAATTGGGCACTGTTCAGCATTTTGTTTTGCCTGTTGTATTCTTCACCTTCGCCTCTCATTTAAAGCAAAGCCTTGCAGCAAGCAGCTTTTCCCTTGTCAGCGATGGATGGGGAGCCTGGGGATGAGGGCTCACATCAGCGCTTTGCTCAGCAATTCCCGGCCATTCCCAGCAGCTCCGCGGGGCCAGCAGCCTGCCAGGAGGCAGCTCTGCTCAGGGTGACATTCCCTCTGCTCCCACGTGGCCCTTTCAGGATGAGTGCCTCATGCAAGAAGGCAGCAGATGAAGAAATTGCCTCTAATTAGTTTTAAATTGGTCTTTTTTAATGATTCTGCTATTTCTGGGAGAAAAAAAAAGCAAGTGCTTTTCTCTTTGCAGTGAGTATTGCTCCCCAGAGGGGTTTCACAGAACCGGGGAATCACAGAAGGGTTTGGGTGGGAAGGGGCCTTAAAAATCATCCAGTTCCTCCCTGTGACATGGGCAGGGACACCTTCCACTATCCCAGGTTGCTCCAAGCCCTGTCCAACCTGACCTTGGACACTTCCAGGGCTCCAGGGGCAGCCACAGCTTCTCTGGACACCCTGTACCAGGGCACCACCACCCTCACAAGGAAGGATTTCCTCCCCATATCCCATCCACCCCTGCCCTCTGACAGAGGGAAGCCATTCCCTGTGTCCTGTCCCTCCATCCCTTGGTCCCAAGTCCCTCTCCAGCTCTCCTGGAGCCCCTTTAGGCGCTGGAAGGGGCTCTGAGCTCTCCCTGGAGCCTTCTCTTCTCCAGGTGAGCACCCCCAGCTCCCCCAGCCTGGCTCCTTGGCAGAGGGGCTCCAGCCCTCGGGACCCTGGTCTGCCCCAAGCCAACTGTTGGCACTCGAGGGGAGGGACACCAGTGGCACCTGAAGAAAGGACACTGAGGAGCAGAAATTCAGTGCTGCCCCACCTTTGGCTTCTGGAGTTCAACCTACAACCACTAGCGGCCGAGGTGTCGCTTTGCAGCGCATTTTTAATCTCATCTCCAAACGTGCCATAAATTGCCCATTATTTGTGGCTGTAGCAAAATGATTCTTTTGACACAAAGCCTTTGATTTGGAATTACTACAGTGTTGGGTTGGCTGGAAATTAAGCCATTCCTATTTCAACTTGCGGGAGAAAAGCAGATTTGTGTGTAATACGCTGACTTCTTTCTTTTCCTTTTGCTTTGCAGGACACAAAGGAAATTGCTCTGTCACTTGGAATGGCTGTGCACATCCTTTAATGACAAACCAGGACAAAACGATGCTTGGCCTGGAGCGGTTCAGGCTGAGTCCAGAGAATTGTTTGCCCTTGGAGCAGCCAGAGAGCAAAGCTCACGGATGGTGAGACCGAGCCATCCATCAGCGCTGGCCGGTGGAAAATACAGTGTGTGCACAGCACAGGAGGGAAAGCTCTGGTTCCTGCTCCCCCCGGGGTGCTCAGGAGACACAAAAGTGATGGCTGAGCCAGCCAGGAGCAGGACCACGGCCATTTATAGCCTGGAGTGGGAGGGCAGGAGTTATTCCCATTGCTCCTGTGTTTTAGCACATTCACCTGCTTTCGGCACAGGAGCTTTGCCCTGTGCTGCTGGCAGGGATGGAGGCTGTGGGGAGGGAAGTGTGGACAGCTCTGGAGAAGGGAGAGGGCTGCCAGTCAGCTGGGATCCTTCACCTGAGTGCAGCTGGGAGCTGGGGTTGGCAGGAATGGGAGGGTAACACCCCTGGAGCCCAGCACCCCTGTGCCCACATCCCTCCCTCTCCAGGAGGGGCAGACCCTGGCAAAGGGAAATGTCTCCACCTCAAAAAGCACCAAGCAACGAGACTGCCAAGGCTCTAATTAGCATAATTAAAGTGTGCTCTTTTCTCCCAGTGGCTGTGCCTGTGGAAAGCCTTCCTCAGAGGAGTGATCTCTGTGAGAGCTCCTTCTTTGCATGATGCCATCACCCAGGACTGAGTGTCCAGAGCCATCCTGCAGCACTCCTGGAGCTTTCCTGCTGGCAGAGCTTCCTTTGGCCCATCACATCTGTCCCTCAGGGAGAATCCAGCAGCAGTGCAGGTGAGCTGGGCAAGCTCAGCTGCAATTCCCAGTCCCTGCTGAGGTGGGTACCAGGGCTGGAGACCTCCCCATCACCCCCCTGAACCACAGCACTTTGCAGGAGATGAGCATCAAGGAGATCACAGAATTCCTGAGTTGGAAGGGACCCACAGGGATCATGGATCCAACTCCTGGTCCTGCACCAGACCACCCTGAGAATCCCACCACGTGCCTGAAGTGCTGTGTGGCCTCCTCCAAAGCTCTCAGAGCAATCAGGGGACTCCATTTACTGCACTTCCAAACGATTAGCTGGGTCTGTGAGCCTCTTTTCCAACAAATAAACTGTTTTTCCCAGCACCTGTATCTGTGAATGCTTGGCTTTGACTCCTAACTCTGCTCAGGGGGATGGGAAGCAGCAAGAGCTGCACATCCTCACCTGGTAGAGCAGCCAGGGATGTCCTGATGGGTTGGTGGCTCTGGCAGAAGGATGGGGACGTGGGACCCCCACCTCTCCTGCACCGTGTTCATCTCCTGCCCACGCTGACAGGATTCAATTTCACGGCAGTGAGTTAATTCCCGATTGCTGCCATGCACGGAGCCTCTCTGCCATTATATGTGTCCCTTCCAAAAGGGAGACAGAATTGAAATTATTCTTCCTCGGGGTGGCTCAGCAGGCGTGGCAGCCTCCCCTGCCCTGCTCGCTGCTTGCTGCTGTGGCTGGGTCGTGCTCCAGCACTGGGACTTCCAGATGGGTTTGGAATGGGAAAATGTCGCTACAGGACATGTGAAAGCACAACGTGAACCACTGCAAGGTGAAAAAAGAGAGGGTTTATTTTCTGACTCCAGCATTTATACTTTTCCAAAGGTGACAGTGGATTGGAGGGTGAATGCGCCACCTCTCCAAAGACATTGGACAAACTACCAGTACATCAAGTTTCTCCACCCCTGTGAAGGAATGCAAAACAATAGGTTGTTTATAGAAAATTGTGTGAGAAAATTCTCTAACAGAATGTAAACTCAGAAGGCTTTAGAAAATCTTAAGAATCAGGGCGACAGGGAAATGGGTCTGTGAAGAGATGAGCCAAGTCTTTGGCATGGCATGGCACTGCAGGGATGGGTGGGAAATGAAAATGGACTGGATTTGCCATAGCAGTGCTGCTTTAGCCACCCTCCTCATCCCTGTGCGGATGGAGAGCAGGAATTGTGTTCCTGTGCTCTGCAGGGACATTGAGGGTGACCCTAAATCCCCTGTCCCCATCACCATCAGGATCTTACCCCTGCCCAGGGCCTGCCAGGAGGAGGGCAGGGTGTGCTCCCTGCCCAGCTCCTGCCTTTCCCCCTCACTCAGGACCACCTTTCAGCTGGGGCTGGTTTTTATCAGGCTGAGCTTTATCCTCCTGGAAGTCCCACTGGGATTCTTGCCTCGGTGCCAGCCAGCCCACACCTCCTGCCCACCCCACACCCACTCCTGCCAGCACCTCCCGCTTCCCAGGGGGAAAAAATCCCTGAAGTCAGGACAAGGGGTCAGAAGAAGGAGCTGGGGGCTCTGGGCTGAGGCTCTGCTGGGCTCGGTTTAGGCTGACACTGATCCTGCTGCTCCAGGGGTTTGGAAAAGCTGAGATCCAAAAGGCAAAGGGGGATTTGGTGGGGCTGGTCAGTGACTTCCCCGGGCTGGGATCTGCCCAGGAGCAGCAGGGACAGGGCTGGCCCTGCTCTGGACCCCTGGGTGGCTCCTGGTCTCTCTCAGTTCAAAATAATGGAGAATTTATAATGAATATAATGCAGAATATAATGCATTTATAATGCATATAATGCAGAATGTGCATTATAAATAGATTAAATATATTATTTATCATATATCTAATATTGAATATTTTGCATATATATTGTAAAAAAACTATTAGATGTAAATATATGGTTGATACATATTATACATTGATGTATCTTATAATTACATTGTATATTATATAATACATTATATATTATATAATACATTATATATTATATAATACATTATATGTTATATATTCTGTGTTCTGTGTGAGGTATTTTATTGATGTATTCTATATTTATAGAGGAGCTTGTTATGTCATCAAATGATTGATACAGCAGGGGAAAACCACTATAATTATCCACATTCTATTTTCCACTTTCACTAAATGTACTTTTGAGCTGTTATAATGGCTATAATTAATTTTTGGTTGTTATTTTGGAGTGCAGGCCCATGCAGGCCTTTCCCACCTATATCCAAGAGATCACTCTTACCACACACCCACATAAGGCCACTCTGGCCATTAAGGAAAATTGCTGCCAAATGAACTTAATACAAATTAGATTTAGCTGGACAGCCAGTGAATATTTCCAGTAATTTGGATTGTGCTAAATAATTTATAAGAGGACTGAGGGCAGGAGATGGGTCCTCATTTGCTCACCTGGGTGATGAAGAGGGAGCAACTCCGCTGCTGGGCATAAACCTCCACCCACTGGCCATGGCTTTGGGGGAAAAGTGTTGTTTTTCCCCTCAACTCCCAGCCAAGCTGCTCTTTCTGACTGATGAATTTCTCTGAATCCAAGTCCTGAAAGAACAGCGAGAGATTAATTACAGTGCAAGGTCTTTGTGCTCGTGTGGCACATTGCAAAGCAGTGGGGAGAGAGCTCCTGCAGCAGGAGCCTGGTGCTGGCACTGGGGTACCTGGGGCAGAGGGAGGGTTTGAAAGGGAATAAAACCCACCCAGCAGAAGCAAATCCCAGATCTGAGGCTCATTTGCATTCCAACTGCAGAGCTCTGGGCTGGCACTGACTCCAACCCACCCAGGCATCACCCACAGCAAAAATCCAAAACTGGGGCAAAGCGGTGCCGCTGAAAACGCTTTTCCTAAGGAATATTCGTGTTCTCCTCTGCTGGCTGGAGCAGCCAGGGCACCATGGCTGTGCCTTGGTAGAAGGGTCCCTCAGAGCCAGCCGTGTCCCTGAGCTTGTCACGCTGCTGCCACTTTCTGCTGATGTGTCAGAAATAGCTCAAGGTCTCGGGGGCTTTCAGACAAAGGTTTGGTACCTGTCCATTTTAATTACTCTCCAACAGCACAGCCTTTGTCAGCTGCCATGCTGAAGGATAAAGCCATCCTGCTTTGCCAGAGTTTCCCAGCAGTAGTGGGTGGGATTTCACAGGGGTTTGGTCTGCCTGGTGCTGTACAAACACAGGCAGGAGAGGTGCCAGGGAGGGCGAGCAGGGTTTGGTGCCAGGGTGCCCCGGGCAGGCACCGGGACCAGCACCAGGACGTGGAAGCTCAGCCGAGCGCGGGGAGCGTGGGCAGGGATCCAGGGAAACAGGACTCTGTGCTGGAAACCTGAACATGTGCTTTCTGGAAAGTGCCAAGAAAGCAACATTTGGAGGTTAAGAAATGGCAGAAAACAGACAGATTTTTCCATGCGAAATTCAGAGAAACGCCGACTGCGAGTTTGGCGGAGCCCAAGCTGTGCAGTTTGTGTGATTAATTCATTAGTATTTATAATATATACAGGGGGGTTTGGGCTCCTCAGATGAAAGGTGTCAGTGGCATTGCTGTGGTGGGTGGCCGAGGACAAGGCAGGAGAGATGGGGTGCAGAAGGGGATCTCTGCCATGAGCCCCTGGAGATGCAAACCAGGTGTGTGAGGGGGGCACACGCAGGGCACACCTGGAGGGCTCCGTGCTCCCTGATCCCTGCTGGAGCACAGTGAGATGGCAGTGCCTGCTCCCCTGCCCCAGCTCTGCACCCCCCAATATCTTAGCACTGTGATTTTGAGCCCAAAACACCCTTCAGATTACATTATTTATTCCTGTGAAATGTGCTTACAACTGCAGAAGGGTTTCGCTTAATTGAGAGTGCAGCCAGCATTTTAATAAAACTATAAAAGGGTGAAACGTGCATAAACAGAAGAAAAGTGTTTAATCTCGGCACAATCACTTGATGTTCATGAGAGCATTTAGCTTCCAATATAGCAAAGCAAATAATACTGAGATCCCACGAGCAAAGAGATATTTTTATCCTTTTACACAAGCCCGGGGTTTAAATCTGACATTATAATTGTGAATTATGGTAGTCCATTACCATAGCTACAGGAGGCTCTGACCAGCCAGGGGATCATGTTACTAATGGCTGTCACAGCTTGGCTGTGGTGACAGCGATCCCTTGGGACTGCCATGCCCTGGGTGACACCGCAGAGGTGGCATTGCAGCACGTGGCACCGTGGGCACTGCACGGGTGTGGGGTCAGCGTGGCAAATTTGTGTTGAAGCCACTCCTGCCTGTGCTCTAGAGCTGGGACCAGCACCCTGCTGTCACTGGATATGGGACCAGCACCCTCCTGTGCATTAAATATGGGACCAGCACCTCCTGTGCATTAAATATGGGACCAGCACCCTGCTGTCACTGGATATGGGACCAGCACTCTCATGTGCATTAAATACGGGACCAGCACCCTGCTGTCACTGGATATGGGACCAGCACTCTCCTGTGCATTAAATATGGGATCAGCACCCTCCTGTGCATTAAATATGGGATCAGCACCCTGCTGTCACTGGATATGGGACCAGCACCCTCCTGTGCATTAAATATGGGACCAGCACCCTGCTGTCACTGGATATGGGACCAGCACCTTCCTGTGCTTTGGATATGGGACCAGCACCCTGCTGTCACTGGATATGGGACCAGCACCTTACTGTACATTAAATATGGGACCAGCACTTTCCTGTGCATTAAATATGGGATCAGCACCCTGCTGTGCATTAAATATGGGATCAGCACCCTGCTGTCACTGGATATGGGACCAGCACCCTCCTGTGCATTAAATGTGGGACCAACACCCTGCTGTCACTGGATATGGGACCAGCAACCTCCTGTGCATTAAATATGGGACCAGCACCTTACTGTACATTAAATATGGGATCAGCACTCTCCTGTGCATTAAATATGGGACCAGCACCCTCCTGGGCTTCCTTGGAGGTGCTGGGTGAGGGCTGAGGCTCTCTGAGCCCCACACTGGTCCCCATACCCTCACAGCAGTTACAACAGGCAGCACATTCTCCATTCAGTCTCGTTAATAGCTGGGAGCAGCTTGGCTGGGCTTCAGGGTTTGGGGTTGCACAGAGCTCTGACTGCATCACTCAGACACCTCTGCAGAACCAGCAGGAGCCCCTTCCCCACCCCCTCCTGCGCTGAGCATCCTCCCAGCAGCTCCAGGTACGAGGCAGGGAGATGGAGAACCCCTCCAATCTGGGATTCCAGCTCTGCTCACAGCCTGCTCTCCGAGAAAAGCATCTGTGTGGTGTACTGTAACCAAGGAGACTGGAAACTCAGGGAATGGCCAGTCCCACTTATCAGGAGCTTTTCTTCATCTCTGCTGGCGCACAGGATTGTGCTTGGTTTAATAAAGAGGTTGAAACTGCGTCGCCCTTTGCAGGGAGAGACAATTCTTCACCAGAATCTGAAGAATTGTCATCCCAGCTGGCATCTGCCGAAAGGGAGAGATGGACAGCTCAGGAATCAGTGCAGCCAGCAGCTGGGATTCTCTGCACTCCTCCAGGCACCAAACTTCCATCCCAGCTGCAGGAATCACCAGGAAATTTCCAGGCCCTGCCAGGGAAGGCTGCTCGTGCCAGCTGGGGCGGGGATTTGGGGTCTGCACCCCTCAAAGGGACTCTGCACTCTGCCCAGGGGATCCCCTGGGCTGTGCCCAAAAGATGTGGGGACAGAGATCACTGGGAAAATCCCAGTGGATGCTGCACTGTCACCTCTGTGGCCCCAGCAAAGTGCTGCTCCTTCCATCCGTGGGACAGAGCATTAATATACTCCTGCCTGTCTCAGAGCCTGCTCCTGGGGAGGAAAGCCATTATTTAAACATTAATTCCTTGTGTGGGCTCTCCTGCAATAAAGCAGGAGTGCGGAGGTGTTGAAGGAATTACGTTTTTATTTAATCACAGAGTAATTACAGGACCAGAGCTCCACGGAGCAGCTGTGATTGACTTCCCAGCTCAGCCCCAGCTCACAGGAAGGGCCAAACTGCCTGACACCAAACACACAGGGACCACCTCACCCCAGGCACGGCCACTGCAATGCTGCTGCTGCTCAGTGGGCCACAGAAATGTAAATAGACAAATATAAATATATTTATCTGTGCATATATTTCTAGTGTCCTGCAAGGAGAACACCAGCTCAGACAGGGCTCTGATTCCAGGGTGGTTTTGCACCAGGGAGCTGCAGCCCCATGACCCAGAGCAGGTCCCTGGGGATGCATGCAGACCATTCTCCAAATTTCAAATTTTGTACAGACACCATTTACCAGAGGGCAAAACAATTGCCCCAAGGGAGACAAGTGTAAGAGCACAGCTTGTGGCAGGACCAGCTTCACTGGGAATAGGAATATGCTGGGAAATGTCTCTTCTTCCCATTCCATGGCAATTATCTTAAAAATTCCACCAGTTTTATCAAAAAAAGCTGATTTTGAGGCCAGAATGTTCTGCAGGGTCTGGGCTGACATTCGAGCACAGACTCGAATTCCTTCAGTTGTTTTTTCTCAAGTGAAGACTTTTCCTCAGAAAAAAAACATCCTGACTTAATTTGAAAACTTCAAGAGACTCAGAAAGCAGCACTTCCCCTTGATAATTCGTTCCAGTGGTTAATTACCTCACTATTAGAAATGTGTCTTTTGTTCTAATTTAAATGTGTCTGGCTCCAGCTTCCAGTTGTTGGCTCTCTTGTGCTTTCCCTGCTGGATTAAAAGGCCCTTTCAGAGCTTGCTGAATCCCAGGAACATTTTTGCAGAGCGGATTCAAGGCACCTCTGGATCCTCCTTTGGCTAAACCCCAGGGACCTCACTACCTCCTTGCCTTTCAGCGGTGTTTTTTCAGTCCTCAAAGAATTTTCCTCCCTCTTTTGTTCGCCCTCTCCTGTTTTTTTTTTAAGGAGCCACATTTCCCAGCCCTGCATGGAATATTTCCCTTGCTCCCACAGGTGTACCAGGACCGTGCCAGGACCACAGCAACCCCCTGAACCTCCCTGGGGTGCTGGGGTCACTGGCTCCAGCCTTGGAGGGTGCCAGAGCTCTAAGAATGCCTGTGGAGCTGCTTTTGCTCCTCCAGCCTCTAAAGTATTTTCTCATTTGATGTTTTCTGGGACACAACCTCCCAGTTTGCGAGCATGGCCTATATTTCCTGTGCCTAGATCGCAGCGTTGCCTTGGATTTGATTAAAATGGGATTTTTTCTTGGATGGCAGCAGATTTACCGAGGAATCCAGATTCCCCCACTCCCGTGGGACACTGTCTCGCCAGCAGACCCAGCAAACAGGGCTTTTTACCCAGTTTTGTGGGATGGGGACTCTTTCTTAATCCCAGAGAAGCACCCTGGGCATGGAGCCATCAGCTCCTGCCAGCACTAACAGGTTTAGCATCAGCCCCAGGGATTAAGCTCCTCAGTGGGAGCAGTGCTGGCTTTGTGGGATGATCAGGGCTCAGGGATTCCCAATCCCATCCCAGGGAAGTGCTGAGGGAATTCCCTGCCCTGCTCAGTCCTTGTGGCTCTCCCACAGCAGCTGCCACA